GTACATCACGCGATCTGTATGGAGAATATTAAAATTGTTCAAAGATAAAATAGAATTTGTTAAATTTGTGTTATGAATTTAGTTCAGAATGAACAAAATATTTGCCTTTATGCAGGTATTTTATCTATCCGAGCTTAAAGGACAATATGACTTTAAAGACGTTTGCTATGGATTCTGTGTGTAACAACAGGGAGGCCAGTGTCCCCCAGGGACACGAAGACCGCCTTATCGCCTCCATCTCCTGGCTTCAATTGGACGTTCTGTGTAGACAGTGAGTGACAGCAATTGACACTGCACGTTAACATATAACATCTATCTATGTAACTACGTGTACATCCAGCCTATTACCTCACCTTTCAACTATCGGCTAGTGTTGTCGTTAACTTATGATACAGTTGTTAAATTATGTCCACATTTGATCGGTCTGCTGATGGTGTCCGTGGCCTCGCCACACAGTCACTAATTGACCTATGATAACTTACGGACTAACATTTAACCTTCAGGAGGGAGGGGCTGATCTTTTCTCTGCAGACAGGATTCTGTTACTACGTAAGGATATTCATTGTTTTCTTTGAAATATAAAACGTCAACGCCAGAGAATAATCAGTCTCGAGAGTCCACCAAAACGAATTTCGTTAGGTGTAGAAGGGAGCGGTGAATATTATGTGAATGGATCACTGAAAACAGTGATGACACCAAGTGTTCACGAAGATGCTAAACATTTGTTTTAGAAAACCATCGCTCAGTTTTATCAAACCATCCTGCAAGGCCAGTGACCAGTTTCTAAAACAATCTAGATACGCACACGCACACGCACACGCACACGCACACGCACACGCACACGCCACCAAACCAAACCACTCCACTCCACTCCACTCCACTCCACTCCACTCCACTCCACTCCACTCCACTCCACTCCACTCCACTCCACTCCACTCCACTCCACTCCACCCCTTCCCATAATATCAAAGAGGCAGGTTTAATCTGATCCATAACGGGATTAAATGAGACATATTGTCATGGTAACAGTCACAACTTTTTTCTATAACAGCTGGGGATCCAATGTGTTTGAATATGTACTTCTTGCATGTGATATATTATGCCTATGACGTCATAGTTAGTGATAATAGAGGGAGGCGTACATACATCACAAATACTGCTGTTGTGAGTCGCCGATGACTACGTTCAAGTTTTCATTGCACCTGAAGAGCCGTTGAGCGACGGAAGATCTTATGTGCATGAAGGAGTTTTGACTAGCACATATAGCATATATACCGCATGTTGAGTCCAGTAGATCTAACTTCAGCGAATATAGACAAACGTTGCTACTTATCGATCTCCAATCTGTAGGCGGCATTAGCGTCCTGTGTGGAGGCACACACATATATGTTGCGATAGGCAGCCTCACTGTACGTCAGTATGAAACAACGTTAATATATTACGCATACCAATGAACCGAATTTATTTCGAGATTTAGATTAAACTATGCATGTTTACATTTTGCATATTTAAATTTTAAATATTTACATTTTAAATATTTACATTTTGCAATTTATATTTTGTCATGTTCACTTTTACATGATATTTATTCAAAATTCACTTAAAGTTCAAACGCGCCATTGTTATATATAATGAAACCCGGTACATAAAACGTCACGTAATGTCCTTCTCAGCAGGTGGGCGTGGCAGGCTGCCAGAACGCCCAACACAATGTGGGTGTTTTATTAATCCCCGCCTGTTGAGGAATAGAATGAACTTGAGTATGGGAGACAATTCATGTCAAGGCTCAGATCGGGTAAAATGTATTTCCGCTTGTTACAGGCGAGCAGAAACTACAATCTACAATACCGACGTGCAAGATATTAAACTCACCATGCTCCACACTGCTGTTCAATGTTAGCAACTTGTCAGTAAATGCATAGGTTGCAGAAAATTAGAGTAAATCTATGAACACTACTTCTTGCCTACATGTTCTGTTCCCAAAGTGTCTAGCTATTGTCTATGGGGATGTCCAACATTTCATATATTGCTTTCTCAGGAAACTTCAGATGACATTTGCTTTCATTTTTGACAAATTGTCATGAAACCTTGACGATTTTAACTATATCCTTTAGTGACACATTCCCCATTGTTAAAGGGGTAATGTTTGTCCTTAACTCTTTGGTGTTGATGGTGGTGTACAAATTTGTAAAAAATCAAATGTTTTGAATTTGAATCTAGTCTAATATTGGGGGGAATCAAGCCAATCCTTTTAGGTTTTGAAAATCCACATGGTATTAATTCCACTTGTCTGAAATTCGTTTTGTGAATATAAAGGTCATCCTTTTCGTATTATTGAGACAGAGATTTGGTGATATTTTGCTGTGGAAAACGTTTGCATTTTAACTTCACCTCCGGATTCTTATTTTGTAAAACATGTAGACCATGGGCGAGATGAAATTATGTTTTCATGTAGTATTTAAACAGGTTTCACTCACACCTTATTTCAAAATTTAATTAAGTGTTCAGGCGATAATTACTTCGACAGAAGAAAAAAATCAACTTATCTTTCAATTTCCTGTCTTGTCAATGATATCTCCAAAGGCGAGTTGTCGGTGAGAAATCACTATTGTCAATTGTTATTTCAGTACCGTTATTGGCAGAACTCGCAATATGGCAATATGGTTTATCGGTATTCTGTGGACCCTCATGCAAGACATCCCTTGATGGCAACGTCAGAAAAACCGCAGTATAAGAACCGCACCTCTCTTTATAACATGTACCACCATCGGGGTACAAGAACCGCACCTCTCTGTGTAACATGCACCGCCATCGGGGTACAAGAACCGCACTTTTCGGGGTAACATGTACCGCCATCGGGGTACAAGAACCGCACTTCTCGGGGTAACATGCACCGCCATCGGGGTACAAGAACCGAACTTCTCGGGGTAACATGCACCGCCATCGGGGTACAAGAACCGCACTTCTCGGGGTAACATGCACCGCCATTGGGGTACAAGAACCTCACTTTTCGGGGAACATGTACTACCATCGGGGTACAAGAACTGCACCTCTCCGTGTAACATGTACCACAGTCGGGGTACAAGAACCGAACTTCTCGGAGTAACATGCACCGCAATCGGGGTACAAGAACCGCACTTCTCGGGGTAACATGCACCGCCATCGGGGTACAAGAACCTCACTTCTCGGGGTAACATGTACCACCATCGGAGTACAAGAACCACACTTCTCGGGGTAACATGCACCGCCATCGGTGTACAAGAACCGCACTTCTCGGGGTAACATGCACCGCCATCGGAGTACAAGAATCTCACTTCTCGGGGTAATATGCACCGCCATCGGGGTACAAGAACCGCACTTCTCTGGGTAACATGTACCACCATCGGAGTACAAGAACCGCACTTCTCGGGGTAACATGTACCACCATCGGGGTACAAGAACCTCACTTTTCGGGGGAACATGTACTACCATCGGGGTACAAGAACCGCACTTCTCTGGGTAACATGTACCACCATCGGAGTACAAGAACCGCACTTCTCGGGGTAACATGCACCGCCATCGGGGTACAAGAACCGCACTTCTCGGGGTAACATGCACCGCAATCGGGGTACAAGAACCGCACTTCTCGGGGTAGCATGCACCGCAATCGGGGTACAAGAACCGCACTTCTCGGGGTAACATGCACCGCCATTGGGGTACAAGAACCTCACTTTTCGGGGTAACATGTACTACCATCGGGGTACAAGAACTGCACCTCTCCGTGTAACATGTACCACAGTCGGGGTACAAGAACCGAACTTCTCGGAGTAACATGCACCGCGATCGGGGTACAAGAACCGCACTTCTCGGGGTAACATGCACCGCCATCGGGGTACAAGAACCGCACTTCTCGGGGTAACATGTACCACCATCGGAGTACAAGAACCACCCTTCTCGGGGTAACATGCACCGCCATCGGGGTACAAGAACCGCACTTCTCGGGGTAACATGCACCGCCATCGGAGTACAAGAATCTCACTTCTCGGGGTAATATGCACCGCCATCGGGGTACAAGAACCGCACTTCTCTGGGTAACATGTACCACCATCGGAGTACAAGAACCGCACTTCTCGGGGTAACATGTACCACCATCGGGGTACAAGAACCTCACTTTTCGGGGGAACATGTACTACCATCGGGGTACAAGAACCGCACTTCTCTGGGTAACATGTACCACCATCGGAGTACAAGAACCGCACTTCTCGGGGTAACATGCACCGCCATCGGGGTACAAGAACCGCACTTCTCGGGGTAACATGTACCACCATCGGGGTACAAGAACCGCACTTCTCGGGGTAACATGCACCGCAATCGGGGTACAAGGACCGCACTTCTCGGGGTAACATGCACCGCAATCGGGGTACAAGAACCGCACTTCTCGGGGTAACATGCACCGCCATCGGGGTACAAGAACCGCACTTCTCGGAGTAACATGCACCGCCATCGGGGTACAAGAACCGCACTTCTCGGGGTAACATGCACCGCAATCGGGGTACAAGAACCGCACTTCTCGGGGTAACATGCACCGCAATCGGGGTAAAAGAACCGCACTTCTCGGAGTAACATGCACCGCAATCGGGGTAAAAGAATCGCACTTCTCGGGGTAACATGCACCGCAATCGGGGTAAAAGAACCGCACTTCTCGGGGTGACATCGGGGGTGTCTAAGGTGCAGCAGCAGCATGTAGCAAAGATGTGCTGCCAGAATGACCTGAGACATCGTCATTTCACAGTAAATATATTGAAGGTGATCCCATTGTTGTTGACGTATTTAGTCATAAGTATTTGCGTTTATATTTTTGTTTTGCTTTAATGGAGAGAAAAAAGTAAACCGCCATTTGCACACTTTGCGGAAATCCGCTACTCTATCTTTACGTTTATACCTCCAAAACCTCAAACAATATTAAAGTCAGCTCGTTGGTAGAAACTCACGTTAAGCGAAGTACAACAGCAGGATGTATGTTCACATAGACAGTTTTATTTCTTACTCTCCAAAACTGAAGAATATATAGTATGTACAAACAAAAACAATCATAAATCTCTCTTCGATATTTACATAAAAACAACGTATTTTGACATAGTGAGTATAAGGGATGAGACAATCGTCGTCTTGAGTAAGTTCAGATGTGTGCGCAGGGTACCCGTGTCCACCTAATGCGCGTGAGTGTGACGCACTTCGTGCGTCTGTGACGGCGTTCGACGTCGTCATTACCGGTCACTGAGACGAGTCAATATCAATAATAACAGCACACATTGTCCAACCGTGTCTCCTCAGTCGTGGTTGAGCACCATCGCGACGCCACCTGGCGTTCAGCAGGTCGGCTACTGCGCAGGGAGACAACTCAACCTCAGCACAGTACTTGAGTCCTCCAAGTCTCAGTTCTCACATGTATTAAATGTCTTTGTAACATCACATGGGTGTCGTGACGACGCATGGCTACGTCCGCTCCACTTCAGACTGGAACGGTCGGAAGAGTCCGTTGGGTGCTGTAGAGCTATTGCTCTTCGTCGACACAGTGGAGGGTTTGTGTTGGGTGGGCGTGAAAGGGAAGGGGCTAGAGCACAAGGAGTCCGAAGGGGGTGTCGAGGGGGTGGAGGAAGTGCTGTGCCCCATAAGAGATGTTGGGTCTAACGGCGACCGAACTGGAGGAGGCGAATGAACAGTATGAGGCACCACCATCGTCGGGGGTCGGAGGAACGAGTTGGTCAGATTGTTGAAATACTCGGTTCCTGGTCGAAGTCCGGCCGCCATTGGGAGCTGTGCGAGTCCCGCCTGAGGGCGCTGCAAGCCCATTCCGGAGTAGCAGCCAAAGGGAGCTCCGGCCGCCGCGATGCCGTATGGGTAGGATGCGGCAGCCGCAGCGATGTAGGCGTAGATGTTAGGGTCAGCAATGCCGTAGGGCCAGGCCATAGCCATGCGTTGACGCTTGTCCTTCATGCGTCTGTTTTGGAACCACACCTGATCAAAGTACAGAAGAGGTATGAGTGGGAGACTAGACCAACAAATTATTTCAACAGCGGTAGAATACAAGCCTGCGTATTTATTACGAGCAATGCGGTATAAGACCAAACATGACGTGACTGTTGAATGAGCATAAGAATAGATAGGACATGTAAGGCAGTAATAGAGATATTGATGAAGATTAGACAGGACACGCGAGGCGGAGACTGTAGATATTGTTGACGAATAGATAGGAAATGGTAAGGCAGGAACTGAAGACATTGTAGAAGCATAGGTAAGACATGGAAATGCGGGTCTCACCTTGATGGTGCTCTCGGGCAGATTGAGGGACGCTGCCAGTTCACAACGCTTTGGACGTGACACGTAGTTCTCTTTGAGAAACTCTTTCTCCAGACGGCCGATTTGCTCCCTCGTGAACGCCGTGCGGTAACGGCGGACTCCGTTGTCGTCTAGGGGACTGTCTGAAAGCAAACTCACATAATAAGTAACCAAGAACAATTCTCAATCCTAACGGAAGAAACTGTACTGAAACTGTATAATAACTGTACCTCTCGTCATGATCTCCCAACTTCTACAGACAGGTGAAATGGCAACGTTGTTCACAGATCTGAGTACACTTAACATCTGCTGAGTTAGAAACAGTTCTGCAGTTATATGATATAAATATGTGATATCCGGTGATAGGCGTGAACAGAAGCAAAGTTAGCGACACCTCAACTGATGCTCTCACACCTGACCCAAACAGACATGTTTATGACAAGACAACGTTGTGACTGACATCAGTTCCACGCATCTGCTAATTACCTAATTGGACCATCGCAAGAACTCGTTTTGACAGGTGGCGTTGAAGTGACCTTTTCGGGGTGACTGGCTGGGGATATACAGCCCTTACAGTGCCTTGTCACTTCCTTTCTCGATAACCTGACCGCTACACTACGCCATCTGGTGGCAATTTCAGTTGTTAATAGTTAGGTGATCAATTAGCACGTTCGTCGTGTCGCCAATCGTATCACGTGACCCATTTTCTGACCACCCATTGGTTACCGTTCCCCAAAGATTATTAAATACGCATATTCGGGAATAAGGGATAGCCTCCTTCAAGCTCAAAGGGACGATAGTTGGTGTCTATTTACATCTAAGGGGAGTAGGGTCTTCGGCAATCAACAGGTCGTATTGCCGTCAGCTTGTTCTATTGTATATATCGCCATCTTGCTGACTATCGGTCACAATAATCGCCAGTTTTATTAAGGATGCGGTGGCTGTTTATGGGGTAAGGGGATACCCGGGGCGAGGGACAAATCGCCGGCTTACATCGTGGGACATACGAAACCACACAGGGAGAAATCAGTCCAACTACGTGAAATTCTTCCCGTGAATCTCTCCCAATCTCAGACCCATGTAGATCCTTCACGATCCCTCCCTTGCTGGAATGGGTGCCGCCCATTTTATATCGCTGTGTACCAATAACACAAATACTTCTATTTATATAAATCAATCAAATGCACTGAAACGTTGTTTTTGTGTTCTGTTTTGTTTTTAAACTAGTGCAGACCCCTCTGTGAACACCCTTTTACACTAATAACAATGATAATATATTCACTTGTATAGTGCATGTGCAGAGTCACAGTTGAGGGGGAAGAATTTCTTGAAAAGAAAGGTGTTTGTCCCTTCCAGAAAACGGTCAGGCTGATGATTTGATTTTTAGATGACGCATTGTGCCATGTAATGGCTGCTGAATATCGAAAGGATCTCTTTTCAGGTGTGGAGGGATATATGTGAGGAATATATAGAAGGTGTTATACATATTCCAATTTTCACAAAGGTGGCGTCGATATATATGAACACTTACTTAAATTCGACCCAAATAATCGTTGGAACATTGGAAACAATTCACAGTTCTCCCACTGAGATAACTATTTCTGTTGGAGGTGACATGATCTTTTATAGGTGCCAGACACACATACCTATATACCATTTTAACTCACGGATATTTGACATATAAATTATCTCTTAACTCAGAATAAAAGGATATTTTGATAACAAATGAAAGGAAAATGGAATGAGTGGTCTAGCTGGGAAGCTCGAGGAACGTGAAGTTCGGACAGATTGAATTCACCGGATTTTCACGCGCTTTTAAAAGTTTAATCCAATAATTATGTTTGTCTAGAGGGTGATCCCGGATTCTTTAGACGACACGGCACTAGACAGGATAATCCTAATTCGTGGATCTTTAATCTTTACCGCACATGTTAACTTTTGGCGACACGTTGTAAAGGTGATGAGGGATACCTAAAGATCACACTCATTGTTGCCTACGGGTGCGGCAGGCGACCACAGATTGTCCAATTAATCTCAGACACTGTGTAATTACAATTTAGACCGTGTTTGGCTTGTGATAGGTGTGTTAATTTGGGTTTAACTGATTAGTGTAATAGACACAGCTACTGACGCGCCTCTAAACAAACATACTCGTTTTAAAGACGGGATCAAATATTAATAAAGGTTAACAATATAATTTTGTTATTTCTCGAGGGAAAATATTTTTTCAGCACTCAGATAAGGAGCGGACAAAAGCCAAGTTTGATATCGGACCATTGGCTATCAATGAAATCGTAAAAGCATTTTTTAGGAAATATTTCATGAGGACTTTTCTCTATAATTTTGTATACAAAAATAATTTACTTTGTAAAGATTTAATAGAGTTTGGTCAACGTCAGTCTCGTATTGCATCAGCCTACTTTAACGATTACCTTTAAACTTAATATAAGATGAATTATATGTCAAATTATGTAAAACTTTTACATTACTAAGAACAGAAAGGTTACAACTAATAAACGAAAACTAAAGTATATAGTAAGACATTTACCAGATCTATGAAGTAATTTTGTTCTCTCAACTGCAGAAAACAAATTTCTGTTTTCTCAATTGCACATCGGACTTTGTACATAAAATGTTCGCTGGTGTAAAACTGTGAAGCCATTTATGTCCTACCATTTTTATCATTTTACGAATGTTATTTTCCATGGGAATAAATTATTTATTGTGGCTCGCGGCTGATATAAAATTGCTGAAATATTTTTAACTACGTGTCTGTTGATATACGTGGAGGTATTTCCTTTGTGTGATGCTGAAAATATACTTCTGCGTACCCGGTATGTCTACGAATATTCAAGATATTTGTTCTTTTGTTTAAATTTCTTGAAGTGGAAGACTTCGTGTTTTAATTTGTTCAATCTTTAATGAAGTATTTTTATCAAGTCTCATGTTATTAACAAATCTTGGGTTTTTTGCGTTTTCTTTACTTTTCCAAAGGCACCCCTCCCTAATCATCAGAGCTCATTAAACATATATTTAAACACTCTCCCACTCTTTTAAACAACGATTACAATCTTTAGGGAGAATAGAAATAAACAGTATGTGGATTTTAATTGTAAGGACATCATTGTGTATATTGTTAAATGCTATCGCCGAACAATTGTTTTCAGAACTCAAAAACGCTCCACTAAAGAAATGACACACTAAAATGAAGCAGTTGGGTGACCAGTACGGTATGTTGTGGTTCTAGCGGCGTAGGTATCGGCTTAGTTTGTATATAAAGTTGAATACGAGTCAGTGTATTAAAAAAACAGTATAGGTATGGTCAAAGTCCAGTTATTTGTATTATTATTTATATGTTTTGACATATGACACTGAATTAAATAGTCACATCTGATCTACACCAGTTCCCCATCAACACATCGGCTGCAGTGGATTATTAACGCCTTGTTATAAATTATAATATATGCTGTATTAGAAAAATGAGTCCAAAATATGTTACAATTCTATTTTGTCGGCAATGTTACTTCTCTTAAGAAGGAACATATACAGAATAAAAATCAATTGAAAAAATTATATTATAGTAATTTCACTCTGTTAAAATGTTTAGATTGGCGTTGTTTCCTGTGAATAATTATTTATTTTAAACTCGAAACAATAGCGAATCGTTTCACATAAGAGTGGTTTATGAGTGTGTATGACTGTCTAGAGGCAGGGCTGATGTCTTGCAGTTGTGTAAGCTGGACAAAGAACGAGTGTTGGGGGAACTTCACCTGGGGGTGGGATAAACACCACACAATGACCACTTCATGTTTCCCAAGATGACCAGTAGGCTAATCTGGTCAATAAATCACGTGATACCGGATACAGCACGTGCGCCCGGGATGTCTTACCTGTGTATGTGTATGATCTAAGGTAAGACAAAGTGCCCCGTATGTCGGGTGAGAGTCACCTCGGTGTATTGTCCACTAATTAGGATAGTTTTTGATAGGGACAATGCCTGATTGTCGAACAATGAATAAATACTAATGTTGACTCGAACAATGAACAATTACTAATGTTGATTGTCGAACAATGAACAAATACCAGTCATGAAAAGGATGAAACCAGCTTGCTCACTATAATATTGTAGCGTTTCTAACATATATTCTTTGTACGTTTTCGTTAATAATAATAATAATTAACTTTTAGTAATTTATAGAAACAAATTAATATTTAAAATTATTTAGCTTAATTGGTTTAAGATGGAAGAATATAGATAGAGATATTATTAAGGTCTCACATTCTATACTTTTGTGTCAAAGAAAGAATAAAACACAATTATATATACTTGTCACGAGACCGAAAATGCACGCCTAGATTCACTTGCAATATATACTATATCTCTTTCTGGGTCAGCTGTTCTATGACTCAGTGTGTATTATCTGAATCCATTTCTACTATACGTTTACTTAAGTATCGTAATTATTTCCTATCACCCATTTTACCTGTGCACTAAACTATCTCTATATTAACGTCAATTACCAGGTGATGAACGCGAAAGGTAAATAAGGCCACCATTTGATGCTCTGCTTGTATAATGTGCGATAATAATACCATCAGATGATTTTTACTATATGTTATTTCTTTGCGATGTGCATTATTTATTTCAATCGTTATCCAGCTGTGCCAACACGACACTAACATGTTAGCATGTTAGCATGACAGTTAAGAAAAGAAAAGTCGGGATGAAAATAACCAACAGAGCGTAAAAGAATTAAATAAGCACTAGGTTGCCTGTGATATCAGAAATCATTCGTCTATGAAAATATTTTCCTCCCTTTAGATAAAAACGTCACATATATAGGTTGCAGCTTGGAATACTGAACGTTAATTTATTGTTTACGATTTGATTCCATATGAACAAATATCAAAATATTTTATTGGCTTTTAGATAGATTTATTATTATTTAGTATATAAATGAAAATTAATTGAACAAAAAACAGGGAACCATACAAATAAGTATTTGCATGAAGAATGATGTTTAAAAAGACATGCCATAATTACATATTTTCACATTCTCAATTTATAAAATATTTACATTCATAAACATGATAAATACACTTAAAAATTGTTTTCTAGTGGATTATTACACGGACTCTTGTGATAATTACCTGGTCATGACAAAGAGAGATAACTTGAACACCAACACTTACAGTAAGCAGTCGAGTGCAGAGGATTAAGCTATAATACTAATAGGGTATATATTGATGATAACTGCCAAGTCAAACAGCAATTTTATTTAACTGCCTTTAAACCTAAAATTAAAATCCTGAACTTAGTGTTTTATTGTCGCCGTGGAAGCTACAGCGATGTCAACTCACGTGAATCATCTCTAAATACGTATGTCCGTACGTTCCTTGTCGCGTAGGCACAAACAAATAACTTGTGCTATAAGTTTAAATAAGTTTGTCACATAGGTTTAAATGATATTTTTTAGATATTTTTTATATGAATTCTAATATGTGTTTCGAAATACGTTTTGGTCAGTGATATGTATTGTCGTTAATTTACGAAATACACAAAACGCCCACAAAACATATATTTGTTTACCTTTACTGCTCGCTGGGCTTCTTACGATGTGCTCATCTTCGCTTGATGACGTCATCTTAATGTCGTCGTCGTTGTGGCGTCTTTCTTCATCTGATGTAACAGTAGAGGTTGTGTCGACGCTAGCACCGCTGTCATTGAGACTGCTGTCGGCGCTTTTGCAAGCCCCGCCATCCATTTCGGCCGAAAACTTGTCCGATTCACAAGGAGCGCGATACCTTTCGTCAGTACGCTCAACATCAACGTAGTTGGGGTCCGACATGGTGTGCATTGCCGTCGATGATGTTGTACAACGATCCCACAATATCGGAAAGTCGGTTACAAAGTCTTTCCAAGTTCCAGGAATATACGACAAACTGCGATAAATGTCCTCAACAACTGAAGATGGAAGTCACAAGAGTGGTCTGATTCGTATGAACTCAATGTGGGTCTAGCGTGCCATATATATCTATATACATATGTATTAATATAGTCCTGGGCAAGGTGTAAACTTCTCCTGACGAATTAGGCTTGTGTCCCCGCTATGTTTGTAGCACGTCACGCTAGCACAGGTACACTTTAAGTTAGTCCACAAAGCTGTCGAATTTTGCGCTCGAGTTGCATCAAATAGCTGCTTGTGTAGTGACGAGCTGAGAGGGTACAAATAGCTGCTTGCTCTCAATGGACAATGAATTCTTCCTCAAACTCTCGCCCTCTAAAAGGTCGCTGGGGACAGTGGATTTGATTGACAGGTAATAATTCAATATGGGCGGAGCTAAGATGATCAGCGAGTGGCGTCTGACGAGCGGGACACATTGATTGGGTGGGCGGGGGCAATTTCGACCAATTAGGTGGGAGACATGGACGATGCGGCAGACATCACCGTCCCTGTGTGAGTATGTTATGTAAGTAAACTACCCGTCTTCAAAATTGTTTGTCTCAAGATTTGTTTTCATTTTTGTGTGTTGTACAAACATTGCGAATATATGTTTGTTTGCGTTTTTCGAAAATTATGATTAATTCAATTTTTTATTAATGTGGTGGTAACATATCATGCATGCTTATTTTAGAATTCATAGAGAAATTTTATATACAATCGTTTTCGAACAGTATTCTGAAGTTACTCATTACAGAGAAGCGTTAGAAACTGATTATTATTCACAAACGGGGGAACACGATGTGACAAATATTTGTATGGCGTCTACTCTTGTAGCTGTATCTTGAGTATAGAGATGACGGGTTTGATTTGATATTCAACCCATCATATTTGTGCCATGCCAGATATTTGTCAGAATTGATTGAGTGGACACTCACTGGTATGTTTTAAAACGTTGTTACGAAGCCTATACGCTGGTACAATATAACTACGTGTTACTTACCACACAGCCATATGTATCCCCCCTTATTATTATGTATATCAGCCTCTTCCACCCTTATTATTACGTATATCAGCCTCTTCCACCCTTATTATTATGTATATATCAGCCTCTTCCACCCTTATTATTATGTATATAAGTCTTTTCCCCCCCTTATTAATATTATGTATATCCGCCTCTTCCACCCTTATTATAAAGTTTATAAGCCCATTCCCCCTTATTATTATTATTATTATCAGCCTCTTCCACCGTTATCATGTATATACGCCTTCTCCCCCCCCCCCCCCCCCCCCTTATTATTTTATTAATATTATGTATATCAGCCTCTTCCACACTTATTATCAAGTATCAGCCTCTTCCACACATTATTATGTATATCAGCCTCTTCATCGTTGTTATTAAGTACGAATTCAACGTCTTATGATTAAGTTCTTATATGTTTATGTGTGTACATGTGTGAGATAGTGTCTGAGTGTTGTTACAAACATGCTGTTTTCATGTCTTGTATGTCTGGACTATATGTCAATCGTGACTATATACACGACAAGCAGGACAAAATTTCAATAAAAATTTCTCTTATATTTGAAGGATATGTCCTTATAGCAAATGTACGTAGCAATATACCAATCAATCCCATTTAACGAAGAGAGGCAATTTTTATTTAAAAAAATATTATGAGATTAATTTGTAAACTAATAAAATTAATAGTAAATACAAATGTTAATACGTTAATTCTTATTCTTATTACGAGCTTTCAATTCAGAATTTGACTGGAAAACGAGTTTTCTTCTTATTTTGGTGAGTAATTTTGGTAGTGATGTGTAAGTGTATGTGTGAAGGTGTGTGTGTGTGTGTGGGGCGGGGGGGGGGGGGATATATTCGCGTGTAAATGTTATCCCTCCAGAGACAACTGTCTGGGCGGTGTTCTTGATACTAGGGTGTGCGTGAGGCAAACCCTGAAGAAATATTACCAGACGGACGATCAGACGGTCGTATAAAGTTGTTTTAAAGAACATAACTGTTTTGAGTCCCGAAGGAAGGGTGGTTGTTTTGAGGTAATGTTGTGAGAGAACGCCTTGATTTAACCGCATGAAATACCCCCAAGACAAATTCCCGAGCAGACGACGATCGTGTTTAAGAAGAAGCTCTATCGTCCCAGCAGCAATCAGAGATTGAGGGGGTTGTGATTGTTGTTGATTGGGGCCATCAATTGCCTAACAATGGAATTAGATGTACTACAATATGTCAGTGACGGGTTTGTGTGGCGATCAGCTGCGTCCCCCGTAATCCAATGAAATTAGGCCGGGTGACTTGACCACCGCCATTGTTTCCCAGCCCTGTCGACCGCCATTAAAATAACACACTACACGTCCGCAATGAAGCGAGAGAAAATCTGTTTAACTGGAACAACATCGTAAAACCTTGAATGCTTATCAAAGGGGAACATGTAGTTGTTAATTCGATAGATGTGGGCCGATTGTGTGTCCCCCTTGTTTATGATATACAGACAAACAGGCGGAGATAGTTGTGAGCGAATTAGGAGGAGGATGGTAATAGGTAGACAATGATACAACAGAGGAGAGACATGGACCCTGGGAATTAGGGGCATAATTACGCTAAAATTATTTTACCCCTTTGTTAATTTGTATAACATCCCTTGTAATTGAGAAAATGTACAAACGATTTTACAACTTTTCTAGTTATCGAAAGATCAAAGGCATTAGCAAATGTGTTTGGAACTGTGGTGCAGGTAATGTAATATAGACGCCGGGGGTGATGGTAAAAGTAGGATTTCGGTATCATTGAGACATTATGTATTATTAATCAATCAATTTGACTTGTGTTCATCCCTCCAATAAATGTTCCTTCGTTGTGATTTAGTACACGTAGTCTTTGTTTGGTGGGTAATAGAACGTTGCTATGATGTATTCTATCGTAAAGTTGTAAATTCAACTATACATGACGATAATGAATTATTAGTTGTATCACCGCAAATCACGTTTAGCTTCTGTGTCATGTCGGAATAGATCGACTGATAAATGAATAATATGTATTTTTTTTTATATCAACATCTGTTATAATAATCCCGTGTGTTTACGATCTGATTCACACCTGTCAATTAATGTAACAAAGCTGAAAGATAAGAAACATATTTTTTTACTGCGTGCCTTTTTTAATTCCTGAATGCATAAGACACTGAAAACGCTGAGTTCCTCTCATCGTTACCACTGTAATGGTAACAGTGATAAACATATGTTATTATAATAATCATAATTATGATTTGTATGTCCTTTTCCCATGCTGGTTATCAAAGCGCCCCGAAAAAATACAAGTTGGGTCAAAGGTTTGGTGGAAGATATGCGTCTTGAGGGAAGTTCCGATGGCGGAGTGTTCAAGGGGACGACTGTTCCACTGATATAAGAGAGACAAGTAAAACTGCATTTTCTCTTTCAAATTTAGATCTATGCATAAAGATTCAGAATGTCAACAAAACACATTACACAAGAATGTTTGACAAGGGGGATGACTTCATCTTTCAAGTTGTCAACTTTACTTTTATGTGGAGCAATATTCCAGCCTTTGGTGTCTATAGTTCACAACTTTTGAGGTAAAATCGAGCATGCTCTGTCGGCGAAGATTTCAAAAACTCTTGCTCAAAATTTGTTTGATCAGGGTTACAAATATTCACGGACTCAGCAAAGCTCTCAAAAAGATTTATGGTAGGCATGTATGGGGCATTTCCAGTTTTGACACATCAGTGACAAACATAGAGTGACAGACTGCAAGTATAAAAATAATATGTTGTACACTTCCTACAATGTGATATGTAATACTCTTACAGAGTGAAACGCACTGCAAGTATAAAAATAATATGTTGTACACTTCCTACAATGTGATATATAATACTCTTACAGAGTGAAACGCACTGCAAGTATAAAAATAATATGTTGTACACTTCCTACAATGTGATATATAATACTCTTACAGAGTGAAACGCACTGCAAGTATAAAAATAATATATTTTACACTTCTTACAATGTGATATATAATACTCTTACAGGGTGAAACGCACTGCAAGTATAAAAATAATATGTTGTACACTTCCTACAATGTGATATATAATACTCTTACAGAGTGAAACGCACTGCAAGTATAAAAATAATATATTTTACACTTCTTACAATGTGATATATAATACTCTTACAGGGAGAAACGCACTGCAAGTATAAAAATGATATGTTGTACACTTCCTACAATGTGATATATAATACTCCTATAGAGTGAAACGCACTGCAAGTATAAAAATAATATGTTTTACACTTCTTACAATGTGATATATAATACTCTTACAGGGTGAAACGCACTGCAAGTATAAAAAAACACCATATGTAATATGTCCTATACTCCTACAATGTGTTATATAATACTCATATAGAGTGAAACGCACTGTAAGTATAAAAATAATATGTTGTACACTTCCTACAATGTGATATATAATACTCTTACAGAGTGAAACGCACTGCAAGTATAAAAATAGTATGTTGTACACTTCCTACAATGTGATATATAATACTCTTACAGAGTGAAACGCACTGCAAGTATAAAAATAATATGTAGTACACTTCCTACAATGTGATATATAATACTCTTACAGAGTGAAACGCACTGCAAGTATAAAAATAATATGTTGTACACTTCCTACAATGTGATATATAATACTCCTATAGAGTGAAACGCACTGCAAGTATAAAAATAATATGTTTTACACTTCTTACAATGTGATATATAATACTCTTACATGGTAAAACGCACTGCAAGTATAAAAAAAACACTAATGTAATATGTCCTATACTCCTACAATGTGTTATATAATACTCATATAGAGTGAAACGCACTGCAAGTATAAATACACAGCTTTAGTTGTATTCAATATTCAGTCCTTATGTCGGCCCACAAGACAGCATATAGAGATTAAGAGCAGATAGTAGAATATTGTCGATAGAACTCCTTGTAACTGAAATACTTCATACCACAGGTAGCTAGATCGGTAGTTACTTGATATTTCAATAGCAACGGTCTGTGAAACATTTGATCTTGTTTAAACGGGCAAAAAACATTTTTCTAGCATTTCCGACAGTACTATTGAATCTTATGCTTGTTTTGAACACTGAAGTGTCTGTGTGGAATAACTGTTCATTCTTATGCTTGTCGTGAACACTGAAGTGTCTATGTGGAATAATTGTTGAATCTTATGCTTGTCGTGAACACTGAGGTGTCTGTTTGCAATAATTGTTGAATCTTATATGTGTTGTGAACATTGAAGTGTCTATATGGAAAAATTGTTGATTTTTATGCTTGTTGTGAACACTGAAGTGTCTGTTTGGAATATGTGTTGATTCTTATGCTTGTCGTGAACACTGAAGTGTCTATGTGGAATAATTGTTGATTCTTATGCATCTCGTGAACACTGAGGTGTCTGTATGGAATAACTGTGCTTGTCGTGAACACTGAAGTGTCTGTTTGGAATAATTGTTGAATCTTATGCGTGTTGTGTACATTGAAGTGTCTATGCGGAAAAAATGTTGAATCGTATGTGTGTTGTGAACACTGAAGTTTCAGTCTGTTTGGAATAATTGTTATCAACATTATGCTTAAGGCTTTTTTTAAGTGCTAAGATTGATAAATGAATAATGCAAGAGAGTTGGTCTTTTTGTTTCAATTTCGTGCATCCCTGTCCCTAAAATGGGTTGATTCACACGCCTTCTTCGTCTAACTAGCAAAGTCAATCATCCCTGACTATACCTGGCTTGTCTAATAGCTACTATTTACCTGTTTAAAATATCAGACGAAGCGGGCTCATGGCGGCCAAACGGCGATTCATTGCTTAATACACAAACATGGCTGTATTACAAATTAACAAGAAATGATATTCGTCATCCACATAGCCCCCGTTACATATCTTACAAAACCTCTCTGGGTGTATTATTGTGTCAACCGGTTTCCATATGTAACTACAGTAAAGTACGGTTATAACGAACTCAAAGGGACTACTAATTTTAGTTCGTTATAACCGTAGTTCGTTATAAGCATATATACAGCATAATACAGCTAATTATCGGGACCAAAAAAGTAGTTCGTTATATCCGTCAGTTCGTTATAAGCGTGTTCGTTATAACAGTAGTTTACTGTATAAAGTGTCAACGCCAGAAAATAATCCAGTCGACTATCTGCCGAAACAGATTCCACTGGGCATGAAAGGCCTAATAGTGGTAAACATTATATGAATGGATCACTGAAAATCAGAGATGACACCGGGTGTTCGTGAAAAGGTTAAGCATTCCCGTTCTACCGGTAGCGCCCACCACTCACATAAATTGCATAAAAAAGTAAGTGTTTTTGTGTTGCCTAACGCCGCACAGCAACTCTACTGCCATACGAGGGCGGCCAAGAAACAATCAAGTCTCAGCCAGGGCCCCCTTCCACACAGCGATCTCAGTGCTAAGGTGATCTCCCATATATTGACATAGGCTTACGGCAATCGTAGCGCTAAGGTCACTTTGTAGAAGGTGGCCCAGAATCAGTGGACCAGACAATCTAATGACAGTGGACCAGACAATCCAGTATGTGGACCAGACAATCCAGTGACAGTGGACCAGACAATCTAATGACAGTGGACCAGACAATCCAGTATGTGGACCAGACAATCCAGTGACAGTGGACCAGACAATCCAGTGACAGTGGACCAGACAGTCCAGTGACAGTGGACCAGACAATCCAGTGACAGTGGACCAGACAATCCAGTGACAGTGGACCAGACAGTCCAGTGACAGTGGACCAGACAATCCAGTATGTGGACCAGACAATCTAATGACAACGGACCAGACAATTCAGTGACAGTGGACCTGATAATCCAGTTACAGTGGACCATGCAATCCAGTGACACTGCAGCGCGTTTACTGATTTTGTTGAAACTAAAAATGATATATGAATGTTGAGTTACGTCTGCTGCCCGTAAGTGCAGATATTCTGCTGCTTACTAGTTTATATTGCTCCACATAAAGGGAAAGCTGACTATTTAAAAGTTGAAGTCATCACTCTTGTAATACAGTAATGTGGAAAGTGTTTTGTTGCCATTCTGAATCTTTATACATAGTTCTAAATTTTAAAGAGAAAATGCAGTTTTACTTGTCTCTCTTATATCAATGGAACAATCGTCCCCTTGAACGTCGTTATACAGTTTTTTGGAGAGTCTTTTGTTCCTATGAATCTATATGCATAGAAACAAATATGAAACAGATTAGGCGGTTTCACTTGTCTCTTATACTTCTAGTTGGGTAAATCACACTCACACACACGGACCAAAGCGCGCACGCAAATGCACACGCACGCAAGCACGCACGCAAGCACGCACGCACACACGTACGACAATGTAAAACCTGCTTCCATGTATCATAAACCGCAAAGGGAAAGTTGACTTTTCTTTTGAAAAGTTGAAGTTATCCCCCTTGTTATAACCGTCTTGTGGAGATTTTCGTTTGGTACTTGGGATCTTTATGTCTTATATGTCTGCTTCATGTGGGTACATCAGTGGAATTAATATGAGCTATCTGGCCATTATTGAACACTATCAGATATACCTATAACTTAAGTTAAACTTCTCAGCTGAATTCCCTTGTTTAGATTTTGCCAATCCGAGCCTAAATTCCGATTCATATGTATAAAGAAATAGTTAAGACAGAAGTAACGTACAAGTGGTGCCCATAGGATATATCTACATACTGCCAATTTTTTCTATCGCTAAATTTCACACGAAGAGGCCTATGATCACGATGTTATAATAATAAAAATGTTTGTTAACACCGCAGTCAGAAATAGTCCAGCTACTCCAGGGCGGCTAAACCAGTGATCGATAATCTGAGCATTGTCCCACTCCTCGATGCACATTGACTCGCGATCAACCCAAGTCACTGAGCCTCGCCACCCGATCAATTAAGCCCCGCACGACCAGCATATGTCTCTCGGGGTCGACGTCAAGCCAGTTTCCCGTGTACATAGCCTCGTGGTAGCCAATTCCTAGAATATACCTTTATACAGTATATTAGGAACTGAAACAAAAAAAAAAACAAACAAACAAACAAACACAAAATTGTCAACATGCATTTCCCAAGTACAAGCAATGTACTTTTGGTTCATGTAAATGGGAAAATAATCAATTTACAAATAAATTGAACTCGTTCTTCGGAGGTAGTTAGTGCACTTCATTAACATTACTAAACTAGAGGGGTACGTGCGGCCCAGTCGTCTAAGGCGCCACAATTCGCTGAGCAGAGTTGTGTCCCTTAGAAACCAATGCTTATCGGTTCGACGCCACGATTTTCCCTGATTATGTTTCTAGGTTTGTCAGCACCATACCCGTGCTTGTGGATTTCATCAACGTGGTAAACATTAAAAGCCTGCACCACTTCCGACTTTCAGACTACTCAAAGAGACTACCCAAAGCGGCGTTAATCCATATTCACTTACTCGACGTGACCCGTGGAGATCCGGGGTAGAATAGGTCTTCTTCAACCCATGTTCGCTGTAAAAGCCGACTCTGCTACTAACGGGATCGGGTGGTCAGGCTCGCTGACTTGGTTGATGCATGTCATCGTATACCAATTGCGTAGATCGATGATCATGATGTCAATCACTGGATTGTCTGGTCCAGACTCGATTATTTACAGACCGCCGTCATATAGCTGGAATATTGCTGAGTGTGACTCTAAACAATAAACCAACAAACAAACAAACTAAATTTGACGTTGAGTCAGCGCCCCAGTGTAAGCCCTATGAGATCCATTATGGCACATTCTGCATCGGGGTCATAGGAGACGCGCTACCACGGTACACACAACACTACTATATGAAGTATTTTCAAAATTGATTCGTGAATTGATGAATACATATTGTGTTTCGCGCAGATGATTTTTTTGCATATTTCCCAATTACTAATCCAACAAGATGTTATTTATTCCTCACTACCAGTCTGACTAGATCTTATATATTCCACTTCTACTAGTCTGAATAAATGTATATTTCCCAATTACTAATCCAAAAAGATGTTATTTATTCCTCACAACCAGTCTGACTAGATCTTATATATTCCACTTCTACTAGTCTGAATAAATGTATATTTCCCCATTACTTCTCTGACTAGAAGGTGAATCTTCTACTACTAGTCTGACAAAATGTTATATATTTCCCTACTGTTCTTATGGCTAGATTATATGTCCCAGTACCAGTCTGACCGCCTCCGTGGTCTAGTAGATAAATCTTCTTCCCGGAGAGCGGAACGTCGGTGGTTTGATTACCGATTCATAGAAAAAGACGTTAAAAGAGGGCATTGTTGTTACCCTGCCTGGCGCTCGGCATTCAGGGGATGAAACAAGAGCTGGTCGGCTCTGAGACAGTATACTGTGTCTGAGTGGGGAATCAATGTCAAACTGCAACATGGTATCTCTCTGTAGGCTTTCACACACATACACACACGCACGCACGCACGCACGCACGCATGCACTCACACACACACACACACACACATATATACACACACACATACACACAAACAAACAACACACACACATTTCCTGGTGTTGTTTCGCTATATAAGTGCAATAATCTCCATCGCGACGTAAAACCCCATTTCACTTCACCTTACCTACCTGACGCTGCATGGCGAGCAGGTGTTTGTTCTAATCCACAGTACCTAATACAGGAATGACTTCTGTGTCAGGTTCCCTTGACACTATTCTCTGAGTGTACAACAGCGACCTTAAATAATGCAAAACACACCCTTCTAAAAAGTAAAATACAATGAAAATTGTATATTTGTTGGTATATCCTACCAAACTTTTGCTAAGGACCATACCTTTGACAAACGATGAGTATTTTGGCCCTTAGCAAATGTTGAGTAGTATATGTATAATAATCGCCTTAAAGGGGGGTCATGCTATACGCGGTGTCACTGTCCAGTCTTCTAGGTTAAAGGGGGTCTGGAACACGCCCAACACCAGCATGTGGAATCTACAAGCTCTGCCCAGACACCAACAACGCTATATCCATAACCAGGTCCCATCAAGGGTGAATGTGCCCCGCGTGTGTCACCCCATTGATCTTATAATCCACCAATAACAAATAATAACATTTCCTTCTACGTCTAGACTGAGTACTCTAGCCAGGTATTTAGTGAGACGTTTGTATGTGAACACAGACATGGACGATCTTCCACACCTCGACACATTGTTGGTTGGTGACTGGCTCACACACAAATGACGTTAACGACATATTTAAGTCTGTGTTTCCTCATGAATATCAACACCCGCACGCCCGGACCGACATTGAATTTCACTGTCTTTGGAATCCATTACTTTAAAATACAAGTCATATGGCAAAGGCCGAAGCATATGTAAAGTTTGAAAACCTTTCACAAGAGTTTTCTTGCTGGAGTGAGTTGGTCATGCCATGGTGTTTGGGAAGAAACTAACCCTGCTTCATGTAAAGTAGTGTAAGAGTAATGGGGTTTTCTTGGAAATAACCAAATATAATGTAATTATTCGTTTGATCAATGTTTTATCATAACACATTCATTGACAAATTCAATACCTAGAAACAAGAGCCAGAGCGACAGGCCCTGAAAGAGGGGGTATAACAACTCAAGTAACAATGTCAATATCGGGTGTGACCACCATTTGCGTTGATGCAGGCGAGGCAACGGGACTCATTGAAGGCACCAGATGATTGAAAACAGCCTGGGGGATATTGTTCCAATTGACAACCAAAGATTGGCCCGACTTACCTAATGTCACAGGTTGGTTCTAGTCCTGTCGTAGGCTTCGTCCCATCTTATCCCAGACATGTTCTATGGGGCGAGGTCTGAAGAAACAGCCGGCCATGGCAATACAGCAATGTTACACAGCCTCAAAAAGTCTTTTACAACACATGCAAAATGTGGGTGAGCATGATCCTCAGTTGCAACGGGATGTTACGTCCCTGCATTTGCATTAAGGGAAGAACATCATCTCGAACGATGTCGTCCCGGTAGCGTACGCCATTCAAATTGCCTTTAACAATGATGATCTGTGTTCTCCCATGTGTTGTGATGCCACCCCATACCATTACACTTCCACCCCCAAAACTAACGACTTTTACTCATACAAGCTTTGCTAAAACGTTACCCCGAACGTTACCAGAGCCTGGACTTATCTGTGAGCAATATACTGTCACAATTTTGTCTTCTGAAACTCAAATTTGTCTACACCCAGCAAGGCGTGCGTAACGGTGACGTGGAAGCAAAACCGGGCGTATAGCTGGACGTCGGTCCCAGATGTTGTGCTACCTCAACCGTTGGCGTTCGGGTCTCCCACTAAATGGTCTCCATCCAGGAATTGTCCGAGCTATTAATGTGGCAGTTTGCTATCCCTAGATGCACCAACGGAATATGGTTGTCTTGTTGACGTGATGTCACACGTGGACGACCGGCCCATAAAATTCATGAGTGTTGCCCGTCTCCAAAGAGGTAATTTATCTGTTCATGAATATGGATTGAAAAATGCAATATTTTATTTAAGAATAATTTTATTTCTACTGAAGTTGGGATGACTGATTATATTTTCCATGCCTGAAAAAAATGCCGCCTCTTAACACACATACTCCCTCAGCATTCTACAACACACACTTGAGTAACGAGTGAGTACGGGACAGTTGTGTAACGCAACACTACGTCGAAGTAGGTCCCCCGAACCCCATGTTTGTCCCCCTGTGGGGATTTTGGGTTAGTATATGTTCCCAGTACGTCTGTCTTCCTGTGGGGATTCTCGGTCAGAATAGGTCCCCACTACAGCATGTCTGTCTCCCTGTGGCGATTTTCCGTGAGTATATGTTCCTAGTACCTCATGTCTGTCTCCCTGTGGGGATTCTCGGTCAGAATAGGTCCCCACTACCGCATGTCTCTCTCCCTGTGGCGATTTTCGGTGAGTATATGTTCCCAGTACCTCATGTCTGTCTCCCTGTGGGGATTCTGGGTGAGAATATGTCCACAGTACCTCATGTTTGCCTCCCTATGGAGATTTTGGGTGAGAATAGGTGCCAAGTACCTTATGTTTGTCTCCATTTAGGGCTTCCGGGTAAGCAAAGGTCCCCAGAACCGCATGTTTGTCGCCTAAGTATTGGGTTGTCATATTTCCGACACATTGGATTATGCTAACGCTGTCAATCTCTGAAGTTCCTGGCCCAAGCCTCCTCATTTCCAAGCCCTCGGGATGTAACTGCATATGATGCGACGTTAGATAAACCTCCCTTACTGATGTATTGGTTGTTGTAGTGCATGTATTGTGCAGTTGCAATGTGTGTATATGGTGGCAAGGGGTCTGGACTCACTGACTGAGGAGCCTTTCCAGTGCGCACGTACTAACGTAGGTTCGCGGGATGTAATAATCAGCTTTGCTGCAGAAAGTTGCAGTCGCCACAATGAGTCACAGGTCTTGCACCTGGATGCCAGATACATCAGAGAGTTTTGCAGTTAACCTACCATGGGACCCGTGAAAGTAATAATCCACAATGCGAGATACAAGTCTGACAAACTCTGTGTAGTGAAATGGCCCAGCCTTTATAGACCCGCTTGAGTTCTATGAAGCGAATAATACCGGTGAATGAGAATAAAATAGCTGTAATGATTACTGTAGGTCGAGGAATGTTTATGGCGCCCGACAAGGTGCACTGCTTTGTGCTGAGTTGTTCTGTTCATTTCATAATTTTTATCGATATATGATATATTCATCAGAGCTCAATGAGGCGTCCAAAGGTACAAAGGCCGTACATCCAGCTAGACTTGGGATATCATTATCATCTTGCTTGGCATATTGGAGCGAGGTAATCTGGTGTGGGGCAGCCATCTAACCATGACTGTCTCTCCTACCTAAGCCCGATGTGCGTAGTCACAGACGCCGCATGTAACTCACAATGCAGGCACACAAGGAGGCGTGTAAACTGCCTGATATGTCACAGAGATTCGCTGATATGTATTAATACTCCACATCTTCCACCAATGCGCAAGTCGCGGTCCACCTTTGCATGTCATTGGCAGGTAGACAACAACACATATTTAATATATCGCCTAGCCTGTAAGGACACTTCACAGCTCATTCGCTGTGTCAAAATCTGCAAAATCGAGGCAAGCTCTACTGCTCTTCTGCTATTCATGTTCCTGACAAGTGGCCCAGTTGTCCCAGGCGCCTTGTTTTGCTGTGTAGAGTTATCTCCCTTCGGCGTGTCAGAAGCCAATCCATTTGGATTCCAATCCCAGATTCGCCCTGCATGTTTCTTGCTTTCTTGGTCCTCCACCTTTAATGTTTCTTCTACTACTTCTGTTCATTCTACTACTCCTGTTTATTCTACTACTCCTGTTTCTTTAACTACTCCTGTTCATTCTACTACTCCGGTTCATTCTACTACTTCTGTTTCTTCTTCTACTCCTGTTCATTTTACTACTTCTGTTCATTCTACAACTCCTGTTGGTTCTACAACTCTTGCTCATTCTTCTTCTCCTGTTCATTTTACTGATCCTCTTCATTCTACTACTTCTGTTTCTTCTTCTACTCCTCTTTATTCTACTACTTCTATTTATTCGAATACTCCTGTTCATTCTACTACTCCTGTTCATTCTACTACTTCTGTTTCTTCTACTATTCATGTTACTTCCACTACTTTTATTTCTTCTACTATTCATGTTCCTTCCCCTCCCTTAATTTTTTTTACTATTCATGTTACTTCCACTAGTTCTATTTCTTCTACTATTCATGTTACTTCTACTACTTCTGTTTCTTCTACTATTCATGTTACTTCTACTACTTCTGTTTCTTCTACTATTCATGTTACTTCTACTACTTCTGTTTCTTCTACTATTCATGTTACTTCTACTACTTCTGTTTCTTCTACTATTCATGTTACTTCTACTACTTCTATTTCTTCTACTATTCATGTTACTTCTACTTCTTCTGTTTCTTCTACTATTCATGTTACTTCTACTACTTCTATTTCTTCTACTATTCATGTTACTTCCACTACTTCTATTTCTTCTACTATTCATGTTACTTCCACTACTTCTATTTCTTCTACTATTCATGGTACTTCCACTACTTCTATTTCTTCTACTATTCATGTTACTTCTACTACTTCTGTTTCTTCTACTATTCATGTTACTTCTACTACTTCTGTTTCTTCTACTATTTATGTTACTTCTACTACTTCTGTTTCTTCTTCTTTTCATGTTCCTTCTACTACTTCTGTTTCTTCTACTATTCATGTTACTTCCACTACTTCTATTTCTTCTACTATTCATGTTACTTCCACTACTTCTATTTCTTCTACTATTCATGTTACTTCCACTACTTCTATTTCTTCTACTATTCATGTTACTTCTACTACTTCTATTTCTTCTACTATTCATGTTACTTCTACTACTTCTGTTTCTTCTACTATTCAAGTTACTTCTAATACTTCTGTTTCTTCTACTTTTCATGTTACTTCTACTACTTCTGTTTCTTCTACTATTCATGTTACTTCTAATACTTCTGTTTCTTCTACTATTCATGTTACTTCTACTACTTCTGTTTCTTCTACTATTTATGTTACTTCCACTACTTCTGTTTCTTCTACTATTCATGTTACTTCCACTACTTCTATTTCTTCTACTATTCATGTTACTTCTACTATTCATGTTACTTCTACTATTTATGTTACTTCTACTACTTCTGTTTCTTCTACTATTTATGTTACTTCTACTTCTTCTGTTTCTTCTACTATTCATGTTACTTCTACTACTTCTATTTCTTCTACTATTCATGTTACTTCCACTACTTCTATTTCTTCTACTATTCATGTTACTTCCACTACTTCTATTTCTTCTACTATTCATGGTACTTCCACTACTTCTATTTCTTCTACTATTCATGTTACTTCTACTACTTATGTTTCTTCTACTATTCATGTTACTTCTACTACTTCTGTTTCTTCTACTATTCATGTTACTTCTACTACTTCTATTTCTTCTTCTATTCATGTTACTTCTACTACTTCTGTTTCTTCTACTATTCATGTTACTTCCACTACTTCTGTTTCTTCTACTATTCATGTTACTTCCACTACTTCTATTTCTTCTACTATTCATGTTACTTCCACTACTTCTATTTCTTCTACTATTCATGGTACTTCCACTACTTCTATTTCTTCTACTATTCATGTTACTTCTAATACTTCTGTTTCTTCTACTATTCATGTTACTTCTACTACTTCTGTTTCTTCTACTATTCATGTTACTTCTACTACTTCTATTTCTTCTTCTATTCATGTTACTTCTACTACTTCTGTTTCTTCTACTATTCATGTTACTTCTACTACTTCTGTTTCTTCTACTATTCATGTTACTTCTACTACTTCTGTTTCTTCTACTACTTCTGTTTCTTCTACTACTTCTGTTTCTTCTACTATTCGTGTTACTTCTACATCTTCTGTTTCTTCTGCTATTCATGTTACTTCTACTACTTCTGTTTCTTCTACTATTTATGTTACTTCTACTACTTCTGTTTCTTCTACTATTCATGTTGCTTCTACTACTTCTGTTTCTTCTGCTATTCATGTTACTTCTACTATTCATGTTACTTCTACTATTTATGTTACTTCTACTACTTCTGTTTCTTCTACTATTCATGTTGCTTCTACTACTTCTGTTTCTTCTTCTACTATTCATGTTACTTCTACTATTCATGTTACTTCTACTATTCATGTTACTTCTACTACTTCTGTTTCTTCTACTATATTGTAGGGGTGCATTGCAATAAACTGCACAATTGTATTCCACTGTAGAACACAGTTGTACTGTACCATTGTATGGATACATGGTTCTTCATATTCCCCAGCACCTCCATGGACGCCCAGGAAAATACTGTCCTTAATTGTAAAGACACAACTATAATACATTAGAAAATAATTGATAAATGAGATTTATCATTTGTTGACATCACGTCGTACATAAATCTGATTTCATTTAGCCGTGACAGTTTGCAGTAATCACCCGCTTAATCAATACAGCCAGTCCTCGGCCCAAGCCTCTGCAAGCTGTTCAGTACAATTATTTGAAACTATGTGTTTATCATGAGGCAAGCCTCGAGCAGGTTGGAGTTTATCCCATGTATCTTAAAGGCACCTTCTACCTACAGGGTTTATACATATCATTGTACATATAGGTAGATGTTTCTTAAGGCTTTCCTCAGACACATCCATTCTCTAAACCCAACACAGTATCTTAAGCGACATGATGGTGTAGCTCGATCATTTTATTACCGTCTTCGCCATGTTTGTGGTTTTGACACAGACGTCCATCCATGGTACGACCCTGAATATGTAGAGGGCGTCATGGAATATGATAAATACAAAATCCTTTGGAATAGGCCCGTTTACAGCATCAGACGTATCCAGGCCAACAAACCTATCTTGTACTTTTTTATAAATCCAATGAAATCATTTATATCATTGAATTTTCTGTCTCTTTTGACAGTAATGTTATTGACAAGATTGAGGAAAAACATGGCAAATATGCGGACCTCGCTTTCGAAATTTCACGCTTGCATCCCAAGTACCAACTTGTCCGACTCCCGATTGTTCTCGGTGCCTTAGGTTTGGTACCTCCCAATCTGTTGACTGACATTGGGAGAGTGCCCGGGTTTGCTACCAGGAATACAGCCCTTCTGACAATTCGGGTAATACAGAAGGCTGCAGTGTTGGGGAGTCTTCACATTCGCCGAAAAGTTCTGGATTGGTTTGACTAGGCAGCATTTCCTGGGAGAAGTCCCATTTGAGGAGTTGTTGAGCTGTTGGCAAGGGCACTTGTTGACGTGTTGAGCTGAAGACACCATTTTGGAGAAGTTGTTGAGCTGAAGACACCATTTTGGAGAAGTTGTTGAGCTGAAGACACCATTTTGGAGAAGTTGTTGAGTACGAGCACATGGTGCTGGCGACAAAGACTGCGGCGGTCTCGTATCTATGACGAGATCGGTTATCTTGCGACGTCGTGTGCTGTGTAGTAGTGTACGTCTTTGGAGACGTTGTTGAACTATTAGGAACATCACAGACGACGATTCTCGGCGTCCAGCGTGGCAGGATGACAACACCTCGTCACATATATTATAAGCTGGCATCTGGTTTGAGTATTCCGGGAGGCCTTGGGCTTGGGTGTGTTCCGCCATCATGAAACAAATAAAACTGAGCCAATCACAGTGTACCTAGCACGAGACATCCAAGCAGCCACGCACATAAATCAGCCATATTGTTTGAGTTATCGGCGAGTGATTGACACCTCTGCAAGTCCGCCGATCATAATGTCACTTATTCCTCTGTCATATCAAGAGGCAATTAATTGCCGTGTCTGTATGGGGATGATTGATCTCCGTGGGAACCTGTAGCAGACTTGTCATTTAACCACTTTAAGTTTTTAATTGTTTGGAAGGAAATGTGATTGATCACATAGATGTACATATCATAGTATGTCAGCCCTGCGCGACTCCTGCACTCATCATACCGAACAACACTCACAGTCACTTCAGTCAGACCAGGAGCTCAAACACCCACAGTCAGACCAGGAGCTCCCACACACACAGTCAGACCAGGAGCCCCCACACTCACAGTCAGATCAAGAGCTCCCACACTCACAGTCACGTCAGTCAGACAAGGAGCGCCCACACTCACAGTCAGACCAGGAGCTCCCACTATCACAGTCACATCAGTCAGACCAGGAGCTCCAACACTCACAGTCAGACCAGGAGCTCCCACACTCAGTCAGACCAGGAGCTCCCACACTCACAGTCACATCAGTCAGACCTGGAGCTCCCTCACTCACAGTCAGACCAGGAGCCCCCACTATCACAGTCACATCAGTCAGACCAGGAGCTCCCACACTCACAGTCAGACCAGGAGCTCCCACACTCACAGTCACATCAGTCAGACCAGGAGCTCCAACACTCACAGTCAGACCAGGAGCTCCCACTATCACAGTCACATCAGTCAGACCAGGAGCTCCCACACTCACAGTCATACCAGGAGCTCCCACACTCACAGTCAGACCAGGAGCTCCCACACTCACAGTCACATCAGTCAGATCAGGAGCTCCCACACTCACAGTCAGACCAGGAGCTCCCACACTCACAGTCAGATCAGGAGCTCCCACACTCACAGTCACATCAGTCAGACCAGGAGCTCCAACACTCACAGTCCCGTCACTCAGACCAGGAGCTCCCACACACACAGTCACATCAGTCAGACCAGGAGCTCCCACACTCACAGTCAGACCAAGACCTCCCACACTCACAGCCACGTCAGTCAGACCAGGAGCTCCCACACTCACAGTCAGACCAGGAGTTCCCACACTCACAGTCACATCAGTCAGACCAGGAGCTCCAACACTCACAGTCAGACCAGGAGCTCCCACACTCAGTCAGACCAGGAGCTCCCACACTCACAGTCACATCAGTCAGACAAGGAGCTCCCACACTCACAGTCAGACCAGCAGCTCCCACACTCACAGTCAGACCAAGAGCTACCACACTCACAGCCACGTCAGTCAGACCAAGAGTTCCCACACTCACAGTCACGTCAGTCAGACCAGGAGCTCCCACACTCACAGTCACATCAGTCAGATCAGGAGTTCCCACACTCACAGTCACACCAGTCAGACCAAGAGCTCCCACACTCACAGCCACGTCAGTCAGACCAGGAGTTCCCACACTCACAGTCACGTCAGTCAGACCAGGAGTTACCACACTCACAGTCACATCAGTCAGACCAGGAGCTCCCACACTCACAGTCAGACCAGGAGCTCCCACACACACAGTCACTTCAGTCAGACCAGGAGATCCCGTACTCACAGTCAGACAAGGAGCTCCCACACTCACAGTCACATCAGTCAGACCAGGAGCTCCAACACTCACAGTCCCGTCACTCAGACTAGGGCCCACTTGCACAAAGCGATGTTAGCACTAAGACTATCGTAAGCCTATGTTAAAGTATGGGAGTTACGATCATCTTAGCGCTAAGATCTCTTTGTGCAAGTGGGCCCAGGAGCTCCAACACTCACAGTCACGTCAGTCAGACCAGGAGCTCCCACACTCACAGCCACGTCAGTCAGACCAAGAGCTCCCACACTCACAGCCACGTCAGTCAGACCAAGAGCTCCCACACTCACAGCCACGTCAGTCAGACCAGGAGCTCCCACACTCACAGCCACGTCAGTCAGACCAACAGCTCCCACACTCACAGTCACGTCAGTAAGACCAAGAGCTCCCACACTCACAGCCACGTCAGTCAGACCAGGAGTTACCACACTCACAGTCACGTCAATCAGACCAGGAGTTACCACACTCACAGTCACATCAGTCAGACCAGGAGCTCCCACACTCACAGTCAGACCAGGAGCTCCCACACACACAGTCACTTCAGTCAGACCAGGAGATCCCACACTCACAGTCACGTCAGTCAGACCAAGAGTTCCCACACTCACAGTCACCTCAGTCAGACCAGGAGTTACCACACTCACAGTCACATCAGTCAGACCAGGAGCTCCCACACTCACAGTCAGACCAGGAGCTCCCACACACACAGTCACTTCAGTCAGACCAGGAGATCCCGTACCCACAGTCAGACAAGGAGCTCCCACACTCACAGTCACATCAGTCAGACCAGGAGCTCCAACACTCACAGTCCCGTCACTCAGACTAGGGCCCACTTGCACAAAGCGATCTTAGCGCTAAGACTATCGTAAGCCTATGTTAAAGTATGGGAGTTACGATCATCTTAGCGCTAAGATCTCTTTGTGCAAGTGGGCCCAGGAGCTCCAACACTCACAGTCACGTCAGTCAGACCAGGAGCTCCCACACTCACAGTCACGTCACTCAGACCAAGAGCTCCAACACTCACAGTCAGACCAGGAGCTCCCACACTCACAGTCAGACCAAGAGCTCAAACACTCACAGTCACGTCAGTCAGACCAGGAGCTCCCACATTCACAGTCAGACAAGGAGTTCCCACACTCACAGTCAGACCAGGAGTTCCCACACTCACAGTCAGACCAGGAGCTCCCACACTCACAGTCACATCAGTCAGACCAGGAGCTCCCACACTCACAGTCACATCAGTCAGACCAGGAGCTCCCACACTCACAGTCAGACCAGGAGTTCCCACACTCACAGTCACATCAGTCAGACCAGGAGCTCCCACACTCACAGTCACATCAGTCAGACCAGGAGCTCCCACACTCACAGTCAGACCAGGAGTTCCCACACTCACAGTCACATCAGTCAGACCAGGAGTTCCAACACTCACAGTCAGACAAGGAGTTCCCACACTCACAGTCAGACCAGGAGCTCCCACTATCACAGTCACATCAGTCAGACCAGGAGCTCCCACACTCACAGTCAGACCAGGAGCTCCCACACTCACAGTCAGACCAGGAGCTCCCACACTCACAGTCACATCAGTCAGACCAGGAGCTCCAACACTCACAGTCAGACCAGGAGCTCCCACTATCACAGTCACATCAGTCAGACCAGGAGCTCCCACACTTACAGTCAAATCTATGTCGATACACGGATGTTATCAAGCGAGTGTGTTTGGGGATTGTAAATATCCTGTATTAGCTAAATACTTAGTGTTTATTCCTAATACAGGCTATTTACCATCAACAAACACACAAGCGTGATAATCTCGTTATCATATGATGCCCTTCTTCAATTCTATGCTCAAAATCTCTTCGTTTAGTTTTCGTGTAGTGTGAGCATTAATCTATATTAAGTCAGAGGGTAAGTGACGTGTCAGTCGGACCGTGACAGTAGCCAATATAGTTCCACCTGAAACCTGTTTCTTATACAGTGGCGTAACTACACATGTGCAAAACAACAATTGCCTACACAAATTATTTTCACTTGCCTTTCGCGGCAATCCATCGGTCTGTCCGATAGAGTCACTGTCCTTTATCAAAGGGAAGCTACTCTTACCCTAGTCTATGAGACGTCATGGCCACAGTGAGACGTTGTTGACCTGACCTGTCATAACGTTACAAAATGCAGTCAGATGTTTACACTGCGATAAAACGAAACAAGGTAACAACATATTTCGGCCAAAAATACAACTGTTATAATTTGTGGAAAAGATTGCAAGCCGCAGAGGTCTACAAGCACAGATATGGAAACTGATCCCGCTTGGCTAGTGCCCTCGCAAAATACTTTAGCAATTTATATCTCCAAAGTTGCCAAAACTTGTAAAATGCCTTACCTCAAAGTTAGACACTGATTCTCAGTATATTAGACTATTCTTTGGATAATGATAGCAATTATCCGCTGTTCTAGTGTTTCTAGAAATTGTTGATGTTAGGCTTTTGATTGTTTAACGCATGCGCAGACATACTGTATTAAAACAGGAATGTGAAAACATTTGTTTATCTTATCTATTGGATTTGTTTGCTTCAGGGGGTTCCAGCGGTTGGAAAGGGGGGGTGGGGGTGGGGGGTGGGGGGGGGGGGGGGGGGGGTGGGGTGGGGTCTTGGGGGCAGCCCGAGCAGGGGCACCCGATGGCACCAAACCTGTTACAGTAGTAGTAGTAGTAGTAGTAGTAGTAGTAGTAGTAGTAGTAGTAGTAGTAGAAGAAGTAGCATTTCCTGGCAACAAACCAAAATTCGCCATGCCAAAATCAATCGCTGAAAAAAAAAGAAACTTCAAGAAACAAAAGGAAGAAACACAACCTTCCCAGCGTGTACTCCCTCTACTGTGCGACAGCCTAGCATTACCCTGATTGCCTTGTTGTTATGATGCCACCCTAGTCAGTTCTCTGTCCCCACACCCAGCCCCTAATATATTCACTCAATACGCTTGCTCAGTATACTCCTGGTGAAGGGACAAGGAGTAGCCATGAAATGTTGTTACGGACAACAACGACGTTGTTATCCATAAAGGTTTTATGTCTTCATGTTCTTCCAACTTGTAAATGCCTATCAAAAAGACTTTATCATTACGTGTTCACAAATACAGAGACTTATTTCGGGTGAAATATATACTACCGACAACAATACTGATGAAATGTTAGTGAGAGTGTAAGGACGTATAATGTCTGTTAATATTTTGTAAATCAATATCTGTCCACCATGTGTGGTTGCCCTTGGCATTGCCCGCCATTCCGCCTGAAGCGCTACCACAATCTGGGCCACGTTGGCGTTCTCGCGAATGGAACAACGTCATTACGCACAATTTCAACATATGGCTGGCCAGTCAAATGTCCATTCACAATTACCAAATCAGTTTGCCTGTCATGTGTGATAGCGCCCCACACCATGACACTACCGTCCCATACCGATAATGGTCAGGATTTGTTGCCCTGGCATACCGCTCGCCGCTACTTCGCTAACAACGTTTTCTGTCTTATTCGAATCGGCGTAAAACCTTGATTCGTCTGTAAATATGGTGTCACGCCACTGACACACAGCCTGTCCCTGGTGTTGCCTTGCCCACCCCAATCTTTGGTTAAGCTGTTAGGGTCACACCCATCTATTGCGGGGGCGGTCGGGAAGCCCAGTGATTAAAGCGTTCGTTCGTCACGCCGGAGACCCGGGTTCGATTCCCGACATGGGTACAATGTGTGAAGCCCATTTCTGGTGTCCCCCGCCGTGATATTGCTGGAATATTGCTAAAAGCGGCGTAAAACCATACTCACTCACCCATCTATTGCGTAGTGCAAATAATGTAATGAGACGACCTTGTCTAGGTGGCGTTTATTTGGGATTGATCTTCAGCCATCCCATGCTTGTCGTAAGAGGCGACTAACGGGATCGGGTGGTCAGGCTCGCTGACTCGCTTGATGCATGTCATCGCTTCCCAATTGCGTGTATGGATGCTAATGTCAATCACTGGAGTGTCTCGTCCAGACTCACAAACAACAAACAAAACACAAGGACGCGAATATCGGGGAACCTCTTACTGTGGAACACGATATTTGCATCAGGCTAATGGGTTACTTCACGACTTGTCTTTCAATGACGTGTCATCATGTCATTGTACAATCGCTAATACTAAGCCAGCGAGTATACTTCTACTCCGCTTTTTTTTGCAAAATTCCAGCAATTTCACGGCGGGGAAACACAAGCTTTGGGCTTCACAGATTGTACCTATGTGGGGAATCGAACCCGTGCTTTTGTCGTGACAAGCGAAGGATCTAACCACTTGGCTACCCCACTGCCTAAAATGGCTAATAATTGAAAATGACATTATCAATTATTGATAACGTCACAGATGATTGTATATAACGTTTGTCTAACAAGAGGCTGAACGAGAGTTCTGTCAACAACAAACCAATATCTATATAATACAAACATAAAACCTGAATATTCTCAATCAGGAACGTAGGCGAAGCTCCATCATATGCCAGGCACGTGTGCACATCTCTCGTTACGGCGTGTGTCTGGGGCACAGATTTAATTATGTCTCACTTCTGCCCAACATATACATTTCTTACATATGCACATGTATTAAAGTACATTATCAGGCCAAAAAGTAATTTCAAACAATCCAAAGAATTTTTTAAAACGCAGCATGCGTTATGTGTATAAAATACCTTTCTCCGGGTCAATATTATTTTCTCCAAATTGAAACAAAGATTTGATTTTTGAAGATGAGAATTTTTCATTTTCTGAAAGGTCGTACAAATCTCTAATGTCATCATATAGACGACAGCGAGTCAAACACACGTGCCTCGTCTTAGACATGAGATAAATAATAAAAACACTTCCTGTTAGTTCCGGTACATTTTCATAGCGCCTATCGCCAAGTTGGAAACTTATCGGGTCTCTTCTTGAAAAAGGGCGGTCGGGTAGCCTCGTGGTTAAAGCGTTCGCTCGTCACGCCGAACACCCGGGTTCGATTCCCGACATGGGTACAATGTGTGAAGCCCATTTCTAATGTCCCCAGTCGTGATATTGCTGGAATATTGCTAAAAGCGGCGAAAAACGTACTCACTCACTTACTGTTCGAAAAAGATATTTCTAATTCAGTACATACTCATTCATACATTTCTTTCCATTGTCATACACACAACCTTTCTTACGCCAAGTATTGGCGTGCATCAAATTCACACAACTTCTTTCTAATTCCAAAATTCCAGTTCTAAGTTTTAAGCATTCTTATCCGCCAATCTAAAAAGAAAGATATTTAATCTGTCAGACATATTTCGAAGAGACGCCAATGCCTGGGAAAACTTGCCCGCTGTATTACACAGGTGGTACCCAACCATATCTCAATTTGCAGCAACATAAGGGCACATTTTCCAAGGCAAAGAATAAATGTTCGCGTACATTTACGTGCATGGAGCGTCTAATCGCTGGCGCTGGGAGTCACTCGCGCGGGCTACTGTTCATGAGAATCCGACTCAACGCCACGTCTTAAGACTGAAAGAAACCGCACGGGTCCCGCAGGACGTTCTGTGTCCCTGGGGTGCCGTCACGAGCTGGCCTTTAACCCGGAGGTCGATATGACAGAAGAAGGGGGATCCCATTCCCGTCTCTATCTGTCGCACAGTAATAGAAGTCAAGGAGAATTATCGCGCAGTCAATTTGTAATAAGGCTATCAATTTATCAAGCCCCGGGGTTAATCCGAGGGAGATTGCTTTCCATACGACCAATATCGTTTAAACGAGAAGTGCTGTTTTCCTGATGGCTTCTTGTGCGAGTAGAATTTATTGCAAACATCGGAAGCCGTGATTTATGTTGGGAGTGTGAGATTCAGAAAGGCCCTTGTTCATTTGAAATCAAGATGGAATTATGGCCGTAAATGTAGAGTTTTAACAAGTAGCTGTTGGGAATGCCGCCACTAAGCACGTGGAGATGGGAGGGATTTCGCACTGGCGATGTTCTTTGTCAACACTTACAGAATCAGTTGGCCTTGGCTAGACATTAGAGAAGTTCACGAGTTTTTACTTGTCAGAATACCACCTCAATGACATGAACACACATGGTATATCTACTGGGAAGTAGTATATCCAGATCACGTGTTCAGTGGCCCTAGGGTAGATGGAAAATTCAATATTCTTTGTTGTAAATACGCGGGTTTAAGTAACACTGTAAAAAGCGGAATTATAAAACATATGCTGTACAGTGAGGAATCCTTCACATTGCTATCCTTGTATTTATAGAAACGTATTTGACATAAACTCGAGTACATCTAAACCTTCCAATCAAGCTTAAATAAACTTCAACGAGTAGTATTATATACCGATGTAAGCTCTAACAGCCAGTTTCACCCTTTAAGTTAACTTCACACCCTAAGTAAAATTAAAAAGATACCTACCAAAACCCAACTATTAAATTTATCCCCATACACAAACCTCCAGCATATACTTCATGCCCCATGTAAACCTATAATATTAGCTCCGTCGCCTTTATCAGTACGAGGCCCAGAGAGACACAGGATACATCTACCCCCCCCCCCCCCCCCCCCACCCCCCCACCCCCCCACCCCCACCTCACACACACACACACACACGCACACACCTTTTTAGCTCATATATTTTGACGATGCAATATAAACTGTCCAAATTTTTAACCAAGGTATAGAAGACCCTTTCAGCACCGTTACATCAACTCTACAGAACAAACTGTATGAAATCATCATCCCTCGCGAAAGTAGAGAAATCACAAACACATATGATTCAGCTGACGTCCCGAGGTGGCGGGAGGGGGCGCTTATCCTTGAGGGAGATCTGGGAGGGTGTCAGAAGGCAGCACAACAAATGACCCTCCTCCAGATTGACCATATTAGATTCCATATCAACGGGTCCCATCGGTCCCACTTGCAGTAGAACCGACAGGATTAAACCAGATCTCTGTTCAGCGACTCTCAGCTCCATGGGGAATAACACTTTATTAGCATTATTAACATTCATCTCTGCCGGAGCGGACGCGTTCAGACTTTCTCATTATAGTTTCCAACGTCCCTGAATTGATGGTATTTTGTCTTGAAAGGAAATACAAAAGATCGGTGTGTTCTTTTTTCAAAATTGTTATACATTCATAAAAAAAATAGTACAACAAAAAGGTAAAATAGTAGGGACAGACGGAGGTGGACAACAGTAGGGACAGACGGAGGTGTACACCAGTAGGGACAGACGGAGGTGTGCACCAGTAGGGACAGACGGAGGTGGATAACAGTAGGGACAGACGGAGGTGGATAACAGTAGGGACAGGCGGAGGTGTACACCAGTAGGGACAGACGGAGGTGTGCACCAGTAGGGACAGACGGAGGTGGATAACAGTAGGGACAGACGAAGGTGGACAACAGTAGGGACAGACGGACGGGGACAACAGTAGGGACAGACGGACGGGGACAACAGTAGGGACAGACGGAGGTGGATAACAGTAGCGACAGACGGAGGTGGACAACAGTAGGGACAGACGGACGGGGACAACAGTAGGGACAGACGGAGGTGGATAACAGTAGGGACAGACGGACGGGGACAACAGAAGGGACAGACGGAGGTGGATAACAGTAGGGACAGACGGACGGGGACAACAGTAGGGACAGACGGAGGTGGATAACAGTAGGGACAGACGGACGGGGACAACAGTAGGGACAGACGGAGGTGGATAACAGTAGGGACAGATGGACGGGGACAACAGAAGGGACAGACGGAGGTGGATAACAGTAGCGACAGACGAAGGTGGACAACAGTAGGGACAGACGGACGGGGACAACAGTAGGGACAGACGGAGGTGGATAACAGTAGGGACAGACGGACGGGGACAACAGTAGGGACAGACGGAGGTGGACAACAGTAGCGACAGACGGAGGTGGATAACAGTAGCGACAGACGGAGGTGGATAACAGTAGGGACAGACGGAGGTGGATAACAGTAGCGACAGACGGAGGTGGATAACAGTAGGGACAGACGGAGGTGGATAACAGTAGCGACAGACGGAGGTGGATAACAGTAGCGACAGACGGAGGTGGATAACAGTAGGGACAGACGGAGGTGGATAACAGTAGGGACAGACGGAGGTGGATAACAGTAGCGACAGACGGAGGTGGATAACAGTAGCGACAGACGGAGGTGGATAACAGTAGGGACAGACGGAGGTGGATAACAGTAGCGACAGACGGAGGTGGATAACAGTAGGGACAGACGGAGGTGGATAACAGTAGGGACAGACGGAGGTGGATAACAGTAGCGACAGACGGAGGTGGATAACAGTAGCGACAGACGGACGGGGACAACAATAGGGACAGACGGAGGTGGACAACAGTAGGGACAGACGGAGGTGGATAACAGAAGGGACAGACGGAGGTGGACCGCGGTAGGGACAGACGGAGGTGGACCACGGTAGGGACAGACGGAGGTGGATAACAGTAGGGACAGACGGAGGTGGACAACAGTAGGGACAGACGGACGGGGACAACAGTAGGGACAGACGGAGGTGGACAACAGTAGCGACAGACGGACGGGGACAACAGTAGGGACAGACGGAGGTGGACCACGGTAGCGACAGACGGAGGTGGACCACGGTAGGGACAGACGGAGGTGGATAACAGTAGGGACAGACGGAGGTGGACCACGGTAGCGACAGACGGAGGTGGACCACGGTAGGAACAGACGGACGGGGACAACCGTGAAACGGACGTGGACGGTAGTTAGGCAGACAAGAGTAGGCACAGTTGGAAGTGGGTGCTAGAAGACCAGAAGGACGAATAGAGCGAAGATGGTTGATTGACAATGAAAAGTCATTGCTATCATCTTCTGTTTGATATTATTCATGTTCATCGGGTATACGACGAGGACGTGTGTTGACTGACACAGCCATCATATTCACACGCTCATCTTTGTGTTGCCCTTTTGAGTTGGACAATGTCGCTCAACTGCCCATATTCCGCCTTCACCAAAACCAAATACTCATTACTGTTACACTAAATATTTTAGGACTCAGAATCCGATAAACGGAAAGGATTAAATTAATTTCTCAAGCTAATCTCAATGCCTTCATTTTATCGGGATTCCGATTTCAGCAGATTAAAGGATCAGATTCTTGAGATTAACAATATTTACTCAGTTTTATAAGTAAGGATTAGCTGGCTGTGTGACAGGGGGAGTTGTTGCGTCACCGCAGCAAGGAGGATGCAGCGTTCAGCTGTCACGCCGGGGCTGATTTGATCCATCTGTTCTGTCAGCTGATGCAGGCGATACGGGAGTCTTATCATCCCGGGTTTGTAAGAATCAATGACCTTAAAATATAATCATGGAGGACGTTTTCTCTACATCTATTATTTTCATCATCCATTGGAAATTCGAGCATCCAGATAACATGGCGGTGATGTGACAGACCACGTCGTTCATGCTGCCGTTGGAGTCGTCGGAGGCTGGATTGTTCATTATAAACATATTGACAGTTTAATAATGTGAAAAAGTAGAGAAAGACAACTGACAGGGCGAGTGGAAAGACATTCGCTTATTCACTATTGAACCCTTAAAAGAGCAAAGAAAGCTTTCTTAACATGGTCAATGTAAAGAGATTTAACAAATTATGACTAGAATTTGACAAGAAATAAAAAGCTAGAAAATTGTTATTAATTTATTGTATATTGTCTTGGAGGAAAATAGCGACCTATAAGGTCAATGTAAAGAGATTTAACAAATTGTGACTAGAATTTGACAAGAAATAAAAAGCTAGAAAATTGATATCAATTTATTGTATATTGTCTTGGAGGAAAATAGTGACCTGTAAGGTCAATGTAAAGAGATTTAACAAATTGTGACTAGAATTTGACAAGAAATAAAAAGCTAGAAAATTGTTATTAATTTATTGTATATTGTCTTGGAGGAAAATAGCGACCTATAAGGTCAATGTAAAGAGATTTAACAAATTGTGACTAGAATTTGACAAGAAATAAAAAGCTAGAAAATTGTTATCAATTTATAGTATATTGTCTTGGAGGAAAATAGTGACCTGTAAGGTCAATGTAAAGAGATTTAACAAATTGTGACTAGAATTTGACAAGAAATAAAAAGCTAGAAAATTGTTATTAATTTATTGTATATTGTCTTGGAGGAAAATAGTGACCTGTAAGGTCAATGTAAAGAGATTTAACAAATTGTGACTAGAATTTGACAAGAAATAAAAAGCTAGAAAATTGTTATTAATTTATTGTATATTGTCTTGGAGGAAATAGCGACCTGTAAGGTCAATGTAAAGAGATTTAACAAATTGTGACTAGAATTTGACAAGAAATAAAAGCTAGAAAACTGTTATTAATTTATTGTATATTGTCTTGGAGGAAAATAGCGACCTGTAAGGTCAATGTAAAGAGATTTAACAAATTGTGACTAGAATTTGACAAGAAATAAAAAGCTAGAAAATTGTTATTAATTTATTGTATATTGTCTTGGAGGAAATAGCGACCTGTAAGGTCAATGTAAAGAGATTTAACAAATTGTGACTAGAATTTGACAAGAAATAAAAAGCTAGAAAAATGTTATTAATTTATTGTATATTGTCTTGGAGGGGAATAGCGACCTGTAATGTCAATGTAAAGAGATTTAACAAATTGTGACTAGAATTTGACAAGAAATAAAAAGCTAGAAAATTGTTATTAATTTATTGTATATTGTCTTGGAGGAAATAGCGACCTGTAAGGTCAATGTAAAGAGATTTAACAAATTGTGACTAGAATTTGACAAGAAATAAAAAGCTAGAAAATTGTTATTAATTTATTGTATATTGTCTTGGAGGAAAATAGCGACCTGTAAGGCCACAGCCGGTCAAAGAAGTGTGGAGCCACGGGGTGTTTCTGTATGATGGACACACACTGGCCTGAGATATGCAGATGCACGAAACACAGAAAGCACTCTTTGTATCGGGAGAATCATGTACCGGAGATCAAATAAATTGTCATCCATCAATATTCACAATAATTTGTGATACATCTCATAAACTGTCATCAAACGACAAATTAAATAGAGTTTCTAAAGAAAAGGTTCTACGAATTGTACTTTGATAAAGCTGTTACGCTCCCGCCTGCAAAGCAATTGATGGAAGATAAAGGTAGAGTCATACAAGTACAGATGGAATTGGGGAAGGATTCATCACGGGTTTACAGCCGCGCTTCGCACTGACAACCGCAGAGCGCAAATTACATAGATGTGATTGACTATAATACATAAACATACATACGACCACGGGGCGGGGTTGGAGGGGGTCGCAATGTTTGACGATAGGAAGTCGCAGTTTCTAGGTGAATTCTGAGTGAAAGGCAAGGAATGCGTTATTCGAACGATAGTGAGAAGTATTAATGAAAAGGTACAAAAATAAACAGTTATCAAAAATAGTTTTACGATGCTTCTGCAATGTAGCAATAACATCACGGAGTCACCAGATATGGAATAAACACATCGTATCCAGCTGGGGAATTGAACCCGGACCTTCGGCATGACGAACAAGCGCAACGACCACCATGCTACCCAACATCCCCTCTTCAAATATATTTACATGTTTTTTTGTTGTTTTTTTTGACATTTTTTATTCCTTTCGAAGGGTTGTACATCAGGTTCAGAGGTAACACAGTAGGTTTAGTCAATTGTAGTGAAAATACATATATTTACATGTTGGAATATATAAACATGACAGATAAAGCTTTGTTCAATCACATAATTGAAATAACACAATTTGTTGCATCGGTTGATGTAACTGGGACTTGGACAACTTGGTGTATCTATCTACACGTGTATATACGATGTAAACTTACACTGAATCACGGATCTGTTTAAACGCTTCATAAAATCTCGATAAGATAAAGTATAAATTCGTGTATTACCCTGAAGTACATTCTCCTCATCGATCCTAGCTATTTGCACTGAGATTGAACAACGATACATGCCGTACCAAATGGTGACCCTACCGAGCTCAATACATTTCCGGGCCATCCACACCTTGAGACAGTTTCAGTGTTTTCACTCAACAGATGGTGAGGCGATATATTGTCTCTTATTATAGATAATGTTTCCATATTAAAGACCACATTACTGGTATTGCGGCAGTGTAACGAATACTTCACGTTGCCTGGTGACATGCCGTCACAGCTCTTACCGGCCATGAGTTGCTTATGTAATTGTGTTTTAAATGATTCAGTTCTGACTATTGTTTGCTGTAAAGTTAGGTACCTGTTCGGAACGAACACGGACGTAGCTTTTGAAACAAATGTATTTTAGACACACACGAATAGCGAGGTATTGTCGGTATGTAATAATATGCCTACGTATATCAAAATGGTCAAACTTGAAGTTGACATAATACTTATACTTATATATACTGAACCAAATTAAAAACTTCACAATCCTAAAATTTTAACATTTTGACCAGTTATCATTGTGGGCCCTTATTGTGTATTTAAACAGTAATGGCCACGTATTGTCTTCAGATAACACCCGTTTTTGTGCAGGAGAATCGATCAAAATCATGTGCACAGCACTATAGTAGCAAAAGTGTTTTTTCACGTGTAACTGGTCACGTGGCCATAATACCGCACGTGTTTGCAGCCATACTTGTAAGCAGTCATTAAGAAAAAAAGAAAAACACAAGAAAACAAAAGTCTTTACGGCCATTTGTCATGCCACGCCTTTCAAATGTGCAACGTGAACGTGTCATCGGCATGTTGCAGACGGGAACGTCCGTAGCTGAAGTCGCAAGGACGATGGGTTGTAGTCGACGGACTGTTTATGATTTACAGACGCGTCTACAGCAAACGGGTACCACCGCTGATCGCCCTCGGCCAGGTCGACCACGTGTGACGTCACATGCAGAGGATCGTCAGATTGTCTTACGTCACCTCCGTAACCGATTTTTGACGGCTACATCAACCAGAAATGAACTGTTTAAGGGTAGACTGAGTGCGCAAACTGTTCGAAACCGTTTGAGAACTGCTCACCTTCAAGCACGACGGCCATACTGCGGGCCGATTCTGACTCAATTACACAGACGTCAACGTCAATTGTGGGCACAGCGACACTTACGATGGACTCAGAGGAATTGGAATCAAGTCGTCTTCAGTGATGAATCCCGATTTAATCTTCGATTTGCTGATGGCAGGGCGAGGGTGTGGAGGCGCCGTCATGAACGTTACGCCCAGTGTTGTGTACAGGAAGTTGACAGATTTCGAGGCGGAAGTGTCATGGTGTGGGGTGCTTTCTGTGGCAATGCAGGCTTCTTGTCATTCGTGGCAACCTCAACGCTGCTGCTTACCGCGACCAGGTACTAGCACCAGAACTTCTGCCTTTTATGGCAGCACATGAACCCGGTTTGATCTTCCAACACGACAAAGCCAGACCCCACACAGCAATTTTGACAAGGAATTTCCTTCAGAATGCGGGAGTCAACGTCATGGACTGGCCGTCAAGGTCTCCCGACCTCAATCCCATCGAACACGTCTGGGATGCTCTTGGCAGAAGTCAGCGCACTCTCAAGAACCAACGACAGAATTTGCAAGATCTTGGCACCATTTTGCAGCAACAATGGCGTCGTCTTCCCAATCATGTGTTCACAAGCATCACAAGGTCCATGCGGAGGCGTTGTGTGGCAGTTGTCAACGCACACGGTGGCCATACACGCTACTGAACTTGTGTGCCATCAGATTCTCGTGCTTGGGACTTAAGATTTAAACTGTTGATGTTATTACCGAATACCGTAGGTGCTTGGAACAAATTATGGTTACCACCGTTAATTAAAATCTTTCTTTGGACATTAATGATTAAAAATTACCTTCTCTGATACATTTGTCCGTTGTATGACATATATGGGATTACTTTTAAAAATGTGAAGTGTCTAATTTGACTCAGTATATATATATATATATATATATAGAGAGAGAGAGAGAGATACAGAGAGAGAGAGAGACAGAGAGAGACAGAGAGAAAGAGAGAGAGACTAATATAACTAATATATATGTTAATGTCTGTCTCTCTCTGTCCGACTTCCTTCACCTCTCTGTTCACACCCATTTCGCTCTGGAGGGAGGTAGTGATGAAGAGGAAGACGGGAGGAGGCCTTCGCGTATAAGGATGAAGAGATGTGCCGAATGGAAAAGGGGGAAATGAGGAAGTGTTGATGGATAAGGAAAGGGCGAGGCTTGATGTGGATAGAAAAGGAGGTAGGGCTTCATGGATGGAGAAAGGAAGGAGGGCTTCATGGATAGAGAAAGGAAAAAGGGCTTCATGGATGAAGAAAGAAGGAAGAGCTTCATGGATGGAGAAAGGAAGAAAGAGCCTCATGGATGGAGAAAGGAGTAAGGGCGTCATTGATGGAGAAAGGAGAAAGAGGTTCATTGAGGGAGAAAGGAAGAAGGGCTTCATCGAAGTAGAAAGGAGGAAGGGCTTCATGGATGGAAACAGGAGGAAGGGATTCATTGGTGGAGAAAGGAGGAAGGGCTTCATTGGTGGAGAAAGGAAGAAAAGCTTCATGGATGGAGAAAGGAGGAAGGGATTCATTGGTGGAGAAAGGAAGAAAAGCTTCATGGATGGAGAAAGGAGGAAGGGATTCATTGGTGGAGAAAGAAGGAAGGGCTTCATGGATAGAGTAAGGAGGAAGGGCTTCATTTGTGGAGAAAGGAGGAAAAGCTTCATGGATGGGGAAAGAAGGAAGGGCTTCATGGATAGAGAAAGGAGAAAGGGATTCATTGATGGAGAAAGGAGGAAAAGCTTCATGGATGGAGAAAGAAGGAAGGGTGTCATTGATGGAGAAAGAAGGAAGGGCTTCATGGATAGAGAAAGGAGGAAGGGATTCATTGGTGGAGAAAGGAAGAAAAGCTTCATGGATGGAGAAAGGAGGAAGGGATTCATTGGTGGAGAAAGAAGGAAGGGCTTCATGGATAGAGAAAGGAGGAAGGGCTTCATTTGTGGAGAAAGGAGGAAAAGTTTCATGGATGGAGAAAGAAGGAAGGGCGTCATTGATGGAGAAAGGAAGAAAAGCTTCATGGATGGAGAAAGAAGGAAGTGCTTCATGGATAGAGAAAGGAGGAAGGGCTTCATGGATAGAGAAAGGAGGAAGGGATTCATTGATGGAGAAAGGAAGAAAAGCTTCATGGATGGAGAAAGAAGGAAGGGCTTCATGGATAGAGAAAGGAGAAAGGGATTCATTGATGGAGAAAGGAAGAAGAGCTTCATAGATTGAGAAAAGGGAAAGGGCTTCATGGATGCAGAAAGAAGGAAGGGCTTCATGGATGGAGAAAGAAGGAAGGGATTCATTGATGGAGAAAGGAAGAAAAGCTTCATGGATGGAGAAAGGAGGTAGAGCATCATGGGTGGAGAAAAGGGGAAGGGCTTCATGGATAGAGAAAGGAGCAAGGGCGTCATTGATGGAGAAAGGAGAAAGAGGTTCATGAAGGGAGAAAGGAAGAAGGGCTTCATCGATGGAGAAAGGAGGAGGGCTTCGTGGATGGAGAAAGAACGAAGTGCTTCATGGATAGAGAAAGGAGCAAGGGCGTCATTGATGGAGAAAGGAGAAGGGCTTCATGGATGGAGAAGAAGGAAGAGCTTCATGGATGGAGAAAGGAGGAAGGGAAAAGAGAGTAAGTGTCGCATTGAAGAGAACGATTTATGAAATTATCCATATGTACAAAATACCAGATGTTTATTTGGTTTCTTTCTTAAATCGGTTGGTGATCATTTATGAGCATACTGTGAATAAATAGTCAAAAGAGAAAGTTTCCCACATTACAAAGGTTTCAGTTAAACTCCTACCAGATCGCCCCGACATGATGAAATGTTTATGAGCTTGTGAGCAGGTACAATCAGGACGGTTTATAACAGATGTGATTGGCTACTCAGCGGGAGGGTTCGAGTATTAAACTCCAATTAGAAATACCTGAAGATTAATCAATGGTGACACAGGTGAGTGAGTTCAGACGCTGCCCCGCGATCACACCCCCCTCGGAGTCGTGAGGGAAGGGGACGCCATCTTGACAAACTACAATAAAAGATGAAGTCGTAAAGTGTATGTTTTGCTGTGAAGAAGAAAGTCTATACATGACAATGGTAATAAAACGCTCTTCAAACTGTTCAGTGCAATGGTGTGTTGTCCCTGATGAGTGTGGTGTTCATAGTCGCCCTGTGCAGCCCCGCCCCAATCCCAATATCGCCACGTGGACCCCGGGCTGCTGGTCGTGGACAGTATCTTACGTCACCACCACGATATTAACGAATAGTTTATTTCACTTCTAATTTTTAATTTAAATTGCCTAGTGCCAGCCCCACGCGTGTTGAGACAGCAGGCTGAAAGGATTACCTGCGTGCTGACAGATTAATACTTAACATTATGCAGAAAGAATAATAATGAATAAACATCAAACGCTATTGATCATCCCCATGTTACCTTCATTTCAGGCTTATTAACTTCATCGAACCTTCTTATAATTGAACAGTGGTCGAATTGTTTTGTTTATAATTGTAGTAGGTGATATATAAGATCAGAGTCTTGAAACGAGAATCTCACAAGTTGTATGTTTATAAAGTATAGTGCAATACATTACTCTATCTATCTTAGTTAAACGAGGATAGTGCAATAGCTGACTCTAACTTTGTCTTTATTAAGGGTACAGGGTGCAACCATTTCTTAAGAGTGGCTAGTTCACAAATTATTTTACCCCTTACATTATTTCTCGACAGTGAGCGCCTTGCCCAAGTCGCCAAAAACGTTGATATGTCACTGTCCCCATTTCTCAGTCAGGGTGGATAGATACCCAGTCCAATACACCTACAATCCTATTCTCACGAGCACTTCCACCAAGCACCTGCTATTTACCTTGTATTTCGCCCACACCGGTCAGTATGCCTAACATCTCGCCCACACTGGCTAAATATACCCCCGTCACAGGCAACATGATCATTAGTGACACATACAAGCAGGTCAACCTGCTAAGCTCAGTATTAAGTTTGACAAAACTTCCAACTTGTCTCGAGTATGACGCTCTTTGAAGTTGTCAACAGAGGTTGTGGAGTCCTCTAGCTAGGTTGCTTGAGCCAAGCATCGTTGTCTTCCGAACGTTATCTCAAGATGTGAAGGCATTTTGAGGGATCTTTTGTGTAGGTATTTCACATTCTGACACTCGCCTCCTATGAGGTTAAATATGGGCTATAGATAGAAAAGTCCCAATCACCATTTGAATCTGAGTAAAGGTGGAAGAATCCGTTTTCATGTTTTCATACATTTGAAATATGTTATAATTTATATTGATCACAAATTCCAAAAGGTGGCATCTGATAAGCTATCTGCAGAAATATGGGGAATATAATAAACGTGAAATCCCAATATGGTTATCGACTAAAAGTAAAGTCATCGAGAAGAAATCATTCTCTACAGATGATATGGCAAATGGAAGAGGAACTATGACAGAGGAACTATACAACATTGTCAAGACGAAGTGTTTAACTTACATTCAAGGAACATATAGGCCATATACTCTTTTACATAGTATGTATATGTACTACGCAGCTACAAGAAAAGTAGTAATGGGGTATAATGTTCAGCTCCATCGCATGTACGACCCGCAACTTGGTACATCTTGTATGATCTGCAAAATCTCAGTGTAGACATGCTAGGGTCGATAACAACACTGTACCGAAAGACACAGAACTTCTATATAGGAATTCACACAAAATAATTGTATTTTATTGCATCTAGATTGATCAGAGATACTGATTAAAGTTAAATGTGTGTAAATGTGTATGTATTAACACACATCCATTTGAGAAATTTCACGTGCACAAGTGATGTGAGCTGACGAGTTAAATCTGGTTTAGCTATTAGTCCGAAAAACCAAGAGGCACTTCACTGGTTTAAATGGTTTCAACGGACTAAGAACTATAAATGATAATTTCATGTAAAACATCAAAGCCAGATGATAACTGCGGTAACAAATCTAATGGTCGTAAAATACTGATGAACATTATACGAATGGAACAATTGAAATAAGTGATGACACCAGGTGTTCGCCAGGGTGAGCATGTCCTGCCCCACCGGTATCGCCCGGCACTTACAAAATTTGCACAAAGTAAGTGTTTGAAATTATGAAAACATAACATGAAAGAAAATATTATTTGTAATGCCATGTCCCAACGCAATAATTTAAAGTATTTTCATAACTAAAATTAATTAACACACATTAGTTATATAAAATAAATCATGTATATTTAATTCCACACACTTTAAAATGTGTCTTGGCGGCCCAGCAAACCAAATAATAGAACTAGCTCCATGGCCAAGTCGCTCACCAGCTACATCCCAAGTGAGCTAAATGTTTATCCATTAAGAAAGGGAAGTGCTTAGTTTGCTATCTATTGTAGTGACAGTGAGATTTCAAACCTTAAAGAACATCGCTATGGTTACAAATATTAATGTGTCACCGCATTTAGTAAAGCAGTATGTGAGATCTAAGTAGACACTTTCGCAACATCGTCAGCAGTGTTCCAAAGTTATAAATCATATATCATCTTCCCAAAGTTTCAGCTCGATCACGTTTAATTTTAAGAGAAACAAATCCTTATTCTGAATGTCTTGAATACATTTATCCATCGCTGAAGTGCTGCTTGTCCTACCAAAATGTAATTTCTCTCAGCCGTGTGGTTCCTGCAAGATGATAATAAAACAGTTTCCATAATTGATAATTATGTCTTTTTCAGTTTGAGAAGAACAACCTTTTTTAAATAAAATCCCTTTCCAGACCACTATGAAAGTCCTACGATGGCCCTTCACAGATTTTGTCTGGAGCTTGTGGCTTCTGAAAAAAGGGTCGTCAAGACTTACAAAGGTTTTCTTGACATAAACTGATCCTAACATACTTCTGAAGTTTCTTGCTCATCTGTTTAGTTAACAGACGGACAATACGCTCTGACACTTGGACGTTATGTACTTACAAGCCACATTGGAATTTATATTCATGTTTCAGAGAGAAAAAGCTTCATTCTTCATCTACGTGACAGGAAAAAAGCTGAAACTCAATATGGTGCTTCAAAACCTCACCACTTTGTTTTGTTTCTTTAAAGATAATATATCTTTTTCAGTGTTATAAAATAACTGAATAATTTTCCAAGAAAGTTTTTTTATAATTTACTCTATTGAATAAATCGGAATCCTTTCGTGTCGCTCCTTTTTTGTCAATGTTCCACATTCCGATACTCTGTAGTTTATTACAGCATGTTTGCCTACTATGAATCTCTACATCCTCCTGCAGTCTCAGCCTCATCCGTTCGGAGAAGCAGTCAAACTTCACGGACGGATGAACAGACGCCAGACGCTAGACCATAGACATCACTTGTAACATATTAAACAGTATACTAAGATATCTTGTGTTAAAGCGTATTTACTGTATTGTGTCAATTGTTTTGGGCAGAAAGAGCTGCCTGGTCATGTTCTCTGTATTGATTAGTGAACCTGGTGAAGAGATGTATCAGCGAGGTGACATGCACTCTTCGTGTTGAAGTTCCCTGATGATATTCCCTATGTTTCTGATGATGGTAGATTACAAGAACAATTTGAGATACAAAACGTTTATTATTCAATTTAGAAGTTTAACCGTTTTTAAGTAGTCTTATGTTACTTTCTTTACCATCTATTTCCGCGTGTTATTTTATACACCGTGTATTTTAATTGTGTAACTTTATTTACAGTGTATTTTAATTGTGTCACTTATTTACCATTTATTTTAATTGTGTTACTTACTTAACATGTATTTTAATTGTGTTTCTTTATTTACTATGTATTCTTATTTGTGTTACTTTATTTACCATGTATTTTAATTGTGTTACTTATTTACCATGTATTTTTATTGTGTTACTTTATTTACCATGTATTTTAAATGTGTTACTTTATTTACCATGCATTATTATTATTTGTGTTACTTTATTTACCATGTTTTTATGTGTGTTACTTTATTTACCATGTATTTTAATTGTGTTACTTTTTACCATCTATTTTAATTGTGTGACTTTATTTACCATGTATTTTAAATGTGTTACTTTATTTACCATGGATTTTAATTGTGTTACTTTGTACCGTCTGTTTTAATGGTGTTACAGTATTTACCATGTATTTTAATTCTGTTACTTTATTAAATATATTTTAATTGTGCCACTTTATTTACCATGTATTTTAATTGTGTCTCTTTATTACATCTA